TATATAATATTTATTTTTATTAATATAATAATAAATTTCATCCAATTCTCAATAAATCTTATTTAATTATAATTAGAAATAAACTTATCAATTATTTATTGGATTTAAGATTTTAAAATAAATATTAATCTATAACATCACTTTTTTAAAGTTTTTTTTTTTTAAAAAGTAATTTGAGTTTTCATTTCAAAGAGTGCCTTTGTAGGAGAATTTAATAAATAAACAGAAAATTTGTTAGATTCCTTTTTTGAATTAATTTATGGTGATTAAATTTATTTTTGAGGTTTTGGAGTATTAATCATCTTGATTGAGGTGCAAGATTAGACAAATTATTAAACAGTTTTATTAATATTTGTATGTATAATGCCTTCAGTAACTTTTCGATTATGCATAGAAATATTTTTTGTTTTGATTTGTGGAGTTTTTAATTATAAATGTTTTTAGTTAGATTCTTTTTCATTTTATTCATCACTTGAACTAGTTCTTGATTCATTAATTATATTTTTATAACTATTAAATGCAAAACTAGGTGATTTAGTTATATGAATGAATGAAAGCAAAGCAGTTTCAGAATTTTAAGAGTATTATGACATATCCATAATGCCTTTGGAATATTTTAATTCATTATTATAAAAGAACTCATAATTAATAGGCTAATCATCTTTTGTTAATAATCTTTTACATTTTTATATAGATTCTTAAGTTTATGAAGTCACAATTATAGTTTTTGCCTTTTTTGATTTATTGTTATTGTTGATGATTAATGTGTTATTTTATGATCTCCAATATTTAAACTGGAAGAAGTAACATAAGTACCTTTTCTTCTTTGCATTCTTCTTTTCTTCTTTTTACAATGATGAGCCCTTATATATGGTTATGGATGTAAAGCATTTTATCTATCTTAGAAAAACCCTATATTTCCACACTCTGAACATCTACAACTTTATTTTCTAAAAGGTTTATTATTGGATGTTTTTTTGATTGAAGGAGATAGAAAACTTTGTTTTTTGTTAACTAATTGAAATAATTCTTATCTACGAGTTCTATTCATTGTTGTTATAATTTATAATAAATATATTTTGATTGGAAATGAATTAATGAAGTTGAGTTAATAAAAAGGTAATGTTAAGAAAATATTATTATGTTACAACAAAATAAACAATCAAGAAATTCCCTTTAATACTGTTGGAGTATTTTTTCTAGAGTGAGATTGATGCTTTAGTTAATTTTAGATGAGCTATTCTGATGAAATACTTTTAATCATAGTTCTGGGGGTTTTGCTAAAAGAATTTTGAAAAATGCTATCAACTTGATTTCTAGATGTAATGTTGCGAAAATATGGAGAATAATTATGGAATGTCGTTGGACTATATTCAGTTTAGGGTGGAGTGATTTTGATTTGTGTAGACACATGTGAAGATTTTTATTCTTCATTTTTACAAAATCTTAATGGTTAAATATTAGTAAAGGAATTAGTAGTGATTTTATGAATTTTGGGTAAAGCATATTAAGTATCTATTTAATATTGAGAGATAAATACCTTTTTCATATAATTTCTATTATAAATAAACTCTAATTGATTGTCTTTATTTAAGTTTATTATCTATGATTTTAGCCTAAAAAGATGACAAATTATGATTTTGCAAATATTATTTGTCATCACATTAAATTGATTAAAGTTACTATTATTAAGGAGGCATTAGAGGGGAGTAATCAAAATTAAGTTTAGTTTTGAATCTATACATTTTTTTTTGTTTTTCTTTTTTTTTTAACTTTCTTCTTTTTTGAATTAAATAAATAATGCAATAGACAGCATTTTAAAATCTTTTAATCATTCTAATTTTTCTAAGAACGGACATTTGAGTGTGAAAAGGAATGAATTACTTTGAAAGACTCTTAAGTTTTTTATTGGATTTGCCGCATTGAAAACAACAACAACTCTGATTATCATTAAATATAGAATTCTATGAAGTTTCCGAACTACTTTAGTCTGGGAGGTTACTACCTATCCAAGGATTTAAAATCCAAATTTTTATAAGACATGGGCATATGATGTGAATTGGAAGGGTGTATTGGTTTGGAATATAAAGGTATGTTTTGATAAATTTGTTGAGGTTAGATAATGGGAACTCTTTGAAGACAATATTGATGGAAGATGTTATTATGATTCATATATATTAATTATTATTAATTGCGATATCTTAATTTGTATAAAAATATGGTATATTTTGTATTATTTATATAAAAATATCTATACTAATTTATATAACAATATATATATGCTATAATAAATATAAAAATATGTTATATAATATTCATAGATAAATGTTCCATAAACATAGAGTTCCATCATAACTAGTTGTGATAACTTATTTTTAATCACTCGTCCAAGCAACTTTGGAAACTCCAGAGGAATGACCTAAATATTTGCCTAAGATGGATTAAGTTAAAATTGATATCAAAATTAACTAATTTATATAATAAATATTTACTTCTCCAGAATCTGATCCAGTTGCTAATATTTTACCATCAGGACTAATAGCAATAGAGTTTAATTTGTTTACTTCTATGGATTATACAGGATCTACAATGTCTATATCCCAAAATTAAATAGGCATGTTGATTCCACAAGTAACTATATTATAATTAAGATATAAGATTACTTAATTCTAATTCATTATCTTTTCTTTAAGTCATATCTAGTAAAATTCCATTTCTAGATTAATGTTGTATAACTTTTTTATCAGTTTTAAGATCATATGTATAAATAGTTTTATCAGCTGAACATGAATGAATAAGATTAGGTTTCATAAGATCTGGAAATACTTTAGTAATTTCTTTAGAATGGATAGATATTTAAGTAATTAATTATCTTGCAGTTTTTGACCATACTCTAATAATACTATCTTCTCCACCAGATAGATAATAATTTGAATCACTATATAAAGTGGTTACAGCTCCTTTATGTGCATTTACAATTTCCCATTTAATTGGAGATATTGGTTTATTAGTTATCATATATGCTCTAATAAAACCATCTCTCCAACCAGAAATAATAGTTCTATCTGGATCTAAATAAACAGATGATCCTTTGATTCTATTCATATTAATGGGAATGCATCTAGTAATTACAAGCATCTCATTTAAATCCCAAACCATAACAACTCCTTCATAATCAATAGATACAAATAAATCACAAGCATTTAATGGAACAGATAATCCTACAACACTTGATAAATGTCCTTCAGTATGAATTGTAGAATCTAAATGATTAGTATTAATTCTATAAATTCTTCCATTTGATGTACCAGCTAATAATTCATTACCATTAGGATCAATTGTGATTGAATTCATTCTACCTTCTAAACATATTTCTCTTTCTAAATTCCATCTTGTATCATTTCCAGTTAATTTCTTTACTTTACCATCACCTGAACCAACAAATAAATTCTTTCCAAATATATTTATACTCAAAACACCATTATTACTTACAGGTATTGTTGCTTTAAATAATCCTCCTTATTATGATGAAATACTAAATATACATATTTCACCTGCATGTGTCCCTACATATAAATAATCTCCATTCTAATCTATTACTGCTTTAGTATAATTTCTTACTAATCCACTACTAGGTAATTAACATGATGCTTATTTCAATTGATATTACATTGATGCTACATCAAAATCCATTGTATTTAAAAATATATTTGAACTTTATGATGTAACTATCAAATATTAAGAATGTTTAGTTGATGATCTTCTTGGAGGACACCATGTTATTAAATTAATTGGAACTTCCAATAATTTATTATGAACAATTGTATAATCTTAACAATTCCATATTATTAAATTATTATTTGAAGCTGTTGCTGCTAAAAATTTATCATCACTAGAAAATGAAACATTTGTTATTTCATCTCTTAATCCTCTGAATATTTACATAGGTTTTCTACTATTAAAATCCCATAATATAACTGGTGCTTCAGGTGTCTTTGCATTTCTAGATCCCATTTATCCAGATGCTATATATCTTCCTGTCTTAGATAATGTTAATGCACTTATATCCATATCATGTCCTCTCAAAAACAATTATTAATGTTTATCATTCAAATTCTCTATTACTATCAATCCAGCTAATGCATATACTATTGTAGACTCCTTTTGAGGATGTAAATGAATTACATCTCTATATCTACCTGAAAAACCATTCATATGATCCAATTCTATTGCATCACTCTATAAAGGCAGTTTCTACCCTGCCTCTGGTATACTCTGCTATACTACTTATGGAAGTGTTTAATTATAATAAGGATTCTAGTACTGTTACGGATTTTGAGTATATTATATTGGAGGTTATGGGTATGGTTGTTTATAATATGGTTGTTGATTCCCTCTTTATGCATAATCTATTGGAGTATTTGTTATTGGATTTATTCCATTCTTATTTTGATGTCCTGGTTAAGGTCTTAAATTCATAATTTAAATTATTATTTCTTTTTTTTCAATTTTTATAAGTATGTTATTGTAATTATATTATATACTACTAATTAATCGAAAAAATTTATCTTTTTGTATGTCATATCTCATACATAAAATACTGTATAGTTTCTTTAGATACTTACTGAAACTAATATGATTTTTGGATTAGGAAATCTTGGTAAGTTTTATGAAAATACTAGACACAATTCTTGAATAATTATTCATTTATAATCTTGCATACAAATTTTCTTTAAAGATCAAGAAGAGAAATCAATAGTATCATTGCAACATTCTAATCTTTTAAATCCTCTTTCATTTATGATTTCAATTAGGCATCCAAATAAAAAAAACTTGCAGTTATTACTAATATACCAATTAGCAATATAATAATATATCATGATGATTGAGATGAACAAAGAGGAAAATGTAAGATTAAATAATGAGAAAATGCAGAAAGAAATAATGGTTTAAAATCCATTATTTAATATATGGATGATAAATTCATTTGATTAAAAATAGGAATAGAAAGACCCAATTCAAAAGACCCTACAATTGTTAGTGATTATTTGATGAGTTAATTAGATTATGAACCATCATTACAAGCATTCAAATAAGGGATCATGCTTGTATGATAACTCTAAAAATTTTGATGATCATCTATCATTATAAGGTCATGCATCATTCAATATAATTGGTTTCATCTAATAAAGTGTTGAATTCTGAATCTGTTAAAATATCTGAATATGAGCATTTTTCTTATCTCTATCTTGCATTCTTTCCAATTCTTCCAAATTCTCCATTCCCACACTTCCAAAACAAACCAATCATGAAAAATAATATACTTACTATCACTATAGTGATTCCCTCCATCAAAAGATCGTTTTTTAACATTTTTTATTTTTATAATACTCAAAATTAAATTCAAAACAATTATTTATTATCTACGCAATTTTAAAATTATTCCTCCTTTCTAACTAAATATTACAATCTTCACTAATTTATTCTTTATCTTATATTATTTCACTTTACATTACCCTAAAATTTGATATATGATTATTATTGTTAAACATTGGTTTTTTCATAAAAAAATAAATAATCAGTTGATTATCAGATGTTTAAATTTAATAAACTTTGTCATCTTTTTTTGTCTGCAAAAATTTCTATTTTAATTCAATCAATACCCTAATAAATATTTTATTATAGATCTAGATAATACAATATAGGCTCATGCATAAGATTGATTTACGATAATCGTTATTATGTTTGCTTTTTGTATTTATAATGTTTTTATGATTTTATCAAAAATAATTTTGTTATTCAACTTACTAATTATAATGGAATTAATACTGTTATTATTATTTAGAATAATAATAATTTAGATGTTAAAACTATATTTTAATTAGATTTTAAAATAATGTAAATAATAATAAATTTAATTCTATGTTCATTCTTTTAAGGATCTCTTGTATATTTTTCTTTTCAAATAAATATCAACCCAAGTTTATTGTAAATTGATTAATTTCTTAATAAAATATATCATAATTAATAGAATGTGTTCAATGAATATAACTACTAATGTTGCTTAAGATGATTTATTAGGAAGAGGCTTTGCTGTTAATAAACCACAAGTTTAAAACATAATTTTAATTTCATTATCTTCAATTTCATCATATTAGGCTTATGTTATTTAGGGTTAAGTGTTGGTCTCTTCAAATAAATTAGGAAAGAACTTAACAATTTAATCACTTGCAACAGCAAATAACATTAAATTTGTAAATACACTAATAACACAAATGATATCCATTGCTTTAGTCCATGGACCAATAGAATTAGATTTAACTGCAAAAGGTTTTTAATATAGGTGATATATCTTATAATAATCTGAAAAGAATTCTATAAATAAAAAGAGTGTAACAACTATTCCTGCCACTCTCACAGCAGATGTGAAAAAACATACATATCCAAAATTAAGAATAATTTCTAAATAATCATCAAATGATTCATATTTAGGTAAATAACATGAAATCAATTAACTTTAAAGTACTTATACAATTTATGTTTCATTGATTTAAAATTCTTAGCTTATAGCCTCTAATTATTCTTTTGGCATTCTTTTTATTATGTATTTCTATTATTAAATTAATTATAATTTAGAAATTGAAGGTAGAATAGTTTCAGTAAATATTCTTCTCAATTCATCAACCATAAACATTTAAATCATTTCTTATTTCAATTGATTAATATCATCATTTACAAATCCTATATAAAAGAAATCAAAAAAAGCAGAGAAGATTTCAAATGTAAATCTTTTAATAATAAGTGATCTTTCAAAAGTTTACAAACTTTTATGATCTTCTGATAATGAAGTTGTAATAGATACCTATTTATATTTACTATTTAAATAATTAACAAAAACCACATGAATTACTGCCAATAAATAAGATACATAAATATTCTTACAATAAGGAATCTAAATAATTTCAATATAAAATGATTATTTAGAATCTACATATCCTCTCATATTTAAAGAGACAATAAGAAATGCAACTAATAGAATGACATATCCAATTATTCGAATTGCAGAATCCAAATAAATTTTAAATATATTTTTTTTGATTTATACTTTTAATCCTGATACAGGATCTAATTCATCAGAATAAACAATTCTTCTAAGTGATTCTTAAATTTAAAAGTGACTTTTATGTTTTAAACATTTAAGTAAAGACAATTCAAGTTTAGATGATAAATGATCAAAATTCTTTCCTTAACTTCTCCATTTCACTTAATATTCTAATTATCTTTAATTCCATTTACTTACAAAATATGCAGCCCATAAAACTGTAAGAGCAGCATATAATGGTTCAAATGGAGATTTAGTTACATCATATTTATAATGTTCATCCAAAAAAAAAGTAATCAATCCAAAAATTACTAAGATTAACATATTTTTAATTAAATAAAGAAGGAAAGCAAAATAAAATGCTATTTATTCTCCCATTTAAGATCTAATATTACCCACAAGTTAATCCAAAAAATTAACTTTCAGTTCAAAACTTTATTTCAATTCTCCATATGTACTATGTCTAAATGTTCTCACTGGACATATATCTAATAATAATCCTTTCTATTTTAAAGCAACAAACATATATTATTATTCATTACTAATATCATAACTATTTTTTATTGTAGCTAATATTTAATAAATAGCTATTTCTCTAAGATGAGAATCAATCTCCACTATATTTTAGGAATCTTCATATTTATTTTTATCTGAATATTTAAATTTAGAATACAATTCCATTTCTTTTATATTCGAATCTAAAAAATCTCGAATCTTAATGAATTAACGATACTTTTCTAATTTCTTTCTATTCTAGATCTAAATTTTTGATTAGAAGGATTTCTTAGAATATTTAGGTAATTCTATATGTAAATCTGATAGAGTTTATAGAATTAGATCATTCTAAATAATTATTATGTTTTACATTCTTTAGATAAAGCATCATAACAATTGATGTATTTTGAAAGATCACTGTATATGTAAATCCAAAGCCTTTGAGTATATTACTTATCAACTAAATTTCATCATCTTATATTTTTTCATTAAAAATAATTGCCACCTCATACATAGTAGAATTATTGATATAATTTTTATATTAATTAATTAAATACATGATTAGATAATTTGAGGTATTGACATTACAATAGGTAAATCCACATATATTATGTTCAATTTGTAGGGAAGTATTTTATAATCCAATACGAGCAACTTGTGGGTAAGATATGATCAAATTATAGACATACATTTTGTGGAACTTGTTTAGTTCGATGGATACAATAAAAAAAGAGTTGTCCTTTATGTAGACATTAATTAGAACGCAATTACAAATTTGATAAAGATATTTTAGCTTCAAAAATAGTTGGAGACATTTAAGTAAAATGTTTGAGATGTTAATAATGGAATGGAACTCTAGCATTATTTAAATAACACAAAAAAACATAGTGTATATTTATTTAAAGACATAATGAAATACCGTAAAATGCTATTGAAATTGGAGATGATGATAAAGAGGCTACATTTTCATTTATTATTGATACTCATAAAATAATTAAACCCAATTTAGTATAAATAGATGAATAAAGTAATGAATAAGATGATGAAGATCTAGAAATATAATCAATAAGATAGAATAATGATATTTAGAATGATAATAATTCTCAAGTAGAAATTAATCCATTATTTATTAATGATCAATATAATCATATAGTAATTGAAACTTAAGATAATGTATTACTAGAAGAATCTAATTAATATAATGATCATCATCATATAAATTTAGAAAAATCAGATAAATCAAATAAATCTAACAAATCAATTATATCAATAAGATCTAATAGATCAATAAGATCTAATAAATCAAATAGATCTATTAGATCAATTAGATAGAATATAGTTTAATAATAAGAATAATAAATGAATTCAGATGATTTATAAATAGTAATTAATGAATAAGAAAATAATTAAATAAAATCGTGTAGAAATGAATAAGAAATAGAAATATTGGAACCTTCTTTACGAATATTAAATACTCGTGAAATAAAAGAATTAAAATAAAAAAGAAAGTTTAGAATAAATATATTAAGAAATGCTGTGAGTGTAGCAGAACCATTAATTGATTCTATGAATGAAGATTTATTTAAGGAATTCATAGAATATATGAAAAAGGAAATGTAAAAAAAGTTAAATGACATAAATAAAATGAATACTATAATTGGATGATTATAAAAATGAATCTCATTTTAGATAATTATTAACATACAATGCACAATTTCTTCCTGGAGCACCCATAACACCACCACCTGGATGTGTTCCAGAACCACATAAATATAGTCCATTAATAGGAGTTCCATAACTATTATATCCATTACTAGGTCTATTTCCATATAATTTATCAAGAGTTAAAGCACCATGAAAGATATTACCTTCTGTCATATTTAAAAGTTATTCAATTTCTTATGGTGTTACCATATCAGTATATAGGATAGATTTCCTATTAATAATTTTTATTTATACTTAAAATTAGGTGCATATTGTGATATGTAATCAATCACTTATTCTTTCAATTATTATTTAATTTATTCATTCCAATTAGATTTATAAGGAGTATATTATACAAGGCATTATACAATATGTTAGCCTTATGGTGCGATTGTTTTATCATGAATTGTTGGTACTACTAAATCAACAAATAAATTATCACTAAATGATCTAAATATTGATAATTAATTATTAATACTTTCCATTAATACAATCTTAATATGCTGATCTTAAAGTATCCAACTTTTCACATCCTAAATGAGTTGTACCTATTAATACAGATTCAGGTTTTTCATATTTAGTTCCTTCAAAACATTTAAATTTAGGCATTTCAGATACAGCAAAATTAAATTTAGTACAAGCTCCATTATATTCCATATGTTTAACATCATTAAAATATTTATGATCTTTATTTATTTAATCTTTTGATAATAATTTTTCAAATGTAATTCTTGGAGTTACACTACTTATTATTGTATCACTACAATAAGTTTAATTATCTGAACATTTAACTCCTGTGACTTAATTATTTTCAGTAAGAATATGTTCAACATTTATATTAGTTTTAATTTCTACTCCTTTTTATTCACTTAAATTAGTTAAAATCTTAGATATTGATCCCATTCCACCTTCAACAAATGCCCATTCTCCTTTAGAATTTGGAAATATCTCTCCCATTACATGATGTAATAATATATATGCACTAGCAGGAGTATCTATTGATATCATTTCACCTATTATTCCATCTGTTATAAGAGTTCCTTTTAATATTTCTGATTCAAACCATTTATTTAAAAATTAACTTGATGATTGTGACATAAATTAAATATAATCATATATCTAATATTGTATATAATAATAAGATATACTTTATTTTTATTTTTCCATCCATCTTAACCCATTCTCAATAATAATCCAAGATCATCAAAGGTTTTCTTAATGTTTTACCCTTTAACAGATGTGTCATAAGGATATTTATCTTGATAATAACTCCATAAATCTATAATTTCAGATAAAAATTGATTGTATTCATCGTATACTTCACTATCCTTTTTTGAAAACTTTGCTATTTCTTACTTACAAAAAGTTGAATCTGAATTCATCAATAGATATTCTCCTTTGTTCTTTGTAACTGTTATACTTGATATTGGTCTTCTAAATAATTTCAAACCATGTTAATATAAATTCAATTCATTTATTACTAATGGACGCATCAAAGAAAGTAAATATGAAAATCGACTAAACTTAAATCCTGGATATATCTCTTCTGTCTAAGCAGCTCCACCTGTTATATGTCTTCTCTCTAAAAGTAGAATCTTTTTATATTTCAAATAACAGGCTGCCACAAGTGCATTGTGACCACCACCTATAATTATTGCATCATATTTTTTCATATTTTATAAATTCAATTTATTGAGAATGTCTTGTTTAAGAAAATTAAGTATATCTTTTTGTAATCAACTTTGGAATCGAACTTTTCTTTTAAAAACTTGCTTAAGAATTTGATTATTATGTTTTTATTGCACTAATTACAGAACTCGTTCTAACAGATTTACGATTTTTTAGATAAATTGAGTTCTAAAGACATATATTGTAAGAACGTTCACCACTACTCTCAGTTCTTGTAGTCTATAAAGTCTTAAAACGAATTGGTTTTATTTATCTCCTTCTTTCATTTACCCTGTTCTAAATTTATATTATATAATTCTTTATTGTCTCTCCTATTTTTATATTCCTGTGTATTGCATAATTATATAATGTTTTGTTTTTCTCATTTGATAACTTAGCTATGTTCATTTGATACTTATTATCAATATCAGGAATCATGGTCTAATTTCTCGACGATCATCATTACATTCCTCATTAAATTTTATTATGCATATATCACTTTTTGTATCTTTTGATAATTCAACCATTTACGAATCATTTCTTACTCCATCCTCAAGAGCAATTATTTGTATTAAAATTTATTACTATTTATATATCAATTATATAATCTAACTTACACCACTTAAAAACTATTCTCATATATCATTTCAATATATATTATGATATATTCTAATAATATTCATTTTATCAAAACTAACTCTTCTACTCATCTAAAACATTTATCTAACCAACCTATTATTATTTCAAAAATGATTTAAACTTTTTAAACCACAAACAAAACTATTATACCAAAAGTGTATTCAAATAACTAAATTTATCATTCTAATATAACTTTCTTGTCATATTGTCCTAACTTGTCTTAACAATTATTTTATTTGTTAATCAATTTATCTCTAAAATTGGATTTATCTATTACCCATATTTAAATATAAATCAGAGATTAATCTAAATATTTAATCAATATTTAATAATTAATTCAGAAAAGCATTTTAAACATTTTAAAATAAAGAAGATTCAAGTTATAAAAAAATAGAAAGGAAAGTCAAATCTTATTTGATTTTTAATAAAAATCTATAAACCTATATAATCAAGATAAAGTTATGAAGACAAGGTTTATAAAGAATATTGAACTCAATTAAAGTAATCCAAGATGTTTTTTATTTAATAAAATTTAATTTTAAATTTATTACGATTAATTAAGATAACAATGATTATGTAAAAAAATTAGTTGCTTGATTTATAATTTGATGAACTCTTAAAAACAGATTAAATAAAATGAGAGTTTATAAAATTTAGTTATAGAATTTTAAAGATCATATGATATTATGTTTTTTGAAAAGTGAGTCAAAAGAATTCAGATTTAAATGAATAAATTTAAGAATATAAAGATGTATAATAATGGGTTTTTATAAATTAAAATTTGATATAAGAACATTAATAAGAATGTATAATAGTAAATCCTGAATATGAATTTAAATATGATTTCTTTATTCACAGTAGAGAGTAAAGTTTTTATTATTAATATAATCTAAATAAATGGGTTTGTGTAGTTCAAATGTTCGTAAAAAGGGTTAAAAGAATACTGAGATAAGGTAATTCAGTTAATAGGACATTCATAATTTTTATAAATTGGGTTAAGTAATTGGTCGAGGTAATTTTGGAACAGTTTAAATTGGTTATAAGATAGAGTAAGAAAGGAATGGATTTAAGGGAAAGTGTTATGCGATAAAATGTATAGATAAGGGGAGAATAAATATGGAACACATTTAAAGAGAGTTAGAGATTTTATCAAGACTTGATCATCCAAATATAATTAGAGTTTATGAAGAATATGAAGATTTAAATCACTTTTATTTTGTGATGGAATACTGTAGAGGAGGTGAACTATTATAATAGATCTTAAACCATGGAGCCTTAAATGAAAGAAATACATAAATAATAATGAGATAATTATTTTCTGCAGTGGGATATCTACATTAGAGAGGAATAATCCATAGAGATTTAAAACCAGAGAATTTGATGTTAGCAACAGCAGATGGAGAATTCGATATAAGAATCATAGATTTCGGATTAAGTAAAAGAGAATAGATAATAAAAAAGCCATAGTAATCAAGATCAAAATGTAGACATTAAACAAAAGTTGGAACTCCTATTTATGCAGCTCCAGAAGTATTGAAAGGAGTTTATTCTGAAACATGTGATGAATGGTCATTAGGTTGTATTATGTATGTATTATTATGTGGAGAACCTCCATTTAATGGATAGAATATTCATCAATTAGAATTATAAATTAATAAACCTCGTTTAGATTTTAGAGACAATATTTCAATTGAATGTTAAGAACTAATTAATAAATTATTAGAACCAAATCCAAATAAAAGAATTACTTGCTTAGAAGCATTGAAACATCCTTGGATCATACGAGACACTAATTAATATAGGATGCTAACTACTATGCAAAGTGAAGATAATAATTTAGAAATTGAAAGAGTAATTGAATTATTAAGATAATATGGTGAAAGTACTTCATTTAAGAAAGAATCATTAAAAATTCTATTATCATAATTAACAGATTTTTAATAGAAATATTTAAAATTGAAATTTGAAGAATTAGATAGAGATAATTGTGGAACTATTAAAGAATTAGAATTGTACGACTTTTTGGATTAACAAGGAAAGAATTAGTTATTTAAACAAGTGGGCATGCAAAAGTTTAGTAAAAATGATTAAGGATATTATATTTCCTATACTGATTTTATGGCAGCTCTATTAAACCAACCATTTTATTTAACATAAGATAGATTCGAAAATTTATTCAATTGGTATGATGTAAAACATAGGCAATACATATCTAAGAATGATTATGCAATAGCTATGAGCAGAAGAGGTTTAGTAATCAGTTAAGAAAAGATAGATAACATATTTAATGAGTTAAATTTGGGGTTAATAAGATATGAACAATTTAAACAAGTGATGATTTCAAATTCACTTTATTAGAATAATCCTACCAAACCAGAGACCAGATAAAAAAATGGTTTAAAGGCTATTAAGATAAATGCATGTGTTGCGGATGAATGTAAATTTTTATGATTTTTTATTAATTATATAAAAAACGGGTATGAAAAGAATTGGCTTTGGATTGTTATGTATAATGTTAGTCACAGCAAGCAGCAACAATGTGATGTTACAGACAGCTGATCATGGTGTATTCAGTGAAGTGTTTAAGACATATGTAATGAGTGTAGGATTAATAGGAATTAGTCAAAATAAAGTGAATTCGGAGGGAGATTATATGGAGAGTTATTGATGATGGTTTAGAAAGGTGAAACTTTATAGAATTTAAATGATCATGTTGAAGAGTTGATAAAGCATTTGTCAGATGATCAATCAGAAGATGAGAAATATTTTAATGAGAAATAGTAATAAATGGAAGCAGGAATGTAAGGTTTAGTGAATGAAGTGGAAGAGTTAAGTGTATAAGTGGAATAAGCAGCAAGTCGAATATAAGTACTTAATAAGTAGTAGACAATAATTGATGGTTTATTTGGAAATGATTAAACAGCATATTAAAAGAGAGTAGGTGATTAGAATGCTATTTTGGATGTGATAGGATAATTATTGGTTAGAGTGAGTTAATTAATTGAAGGTGGTGGACATAGTTTGATAGAGAAAGACAATTTATTAGAGGAGATTAAATAACTTGGAAGAGGAAAGCATATTGAGGTGTTAGCTTAAGTAATGGTTAATAGTTTAGACATAGATTACAGCTCATTTACAATTAGAATAAGTAGAACATATTTAAGAATTGTTAAATAGATTGAGGGATGCAGTTCTAAACAGTTTGGCTATTGATGAAGAAAAAGAATAAGAGAATATTAGATTATATAATAAGTTAAGTGCTGAAATTAGAAGGTAATTAAAGTTTAATATATTTTAAGTTCATTGGCTGAGACAACAAGATAATATCAAGAATTAGATGCTCATTTCGAATAGAAAGAATAAGAACTAAATTTAAAGAAGTTGGATGTTCGTGAAGTTGGAGAGACCTTACAAGATAGAAATGATTAGAGGTGAATTAACTACATAATATGAATAGATAGTTCATATTCGACAGAGTCTAAGAAGCCTAATAACTACTAAATGATAATTTAGATAGAATTGCTAGATGGTCAATTGAAGATCAATGAACAATTATTTAGAAAATCTATAATTTTAATTTAATAAAAAATTAATATCATTTTATTTTTAAAATTGGATATGTTTATAACTTCATTTCCTCTTATCACTTCTTCTAATTAACTCTCTATTGTACTTTTAAAATATTATTTATATATTAATTTAAAGATAAAATTAAATTTTAATTGAAAATTAAAGTATTTATATGATGAGCCAATTTATATATAAATATCTAATCATTTAAAAGTTCCTGTTGCTCTCATTCTACATTCATTTAGAGATTGAGTTAAATACTTTATTTCTTTTCGTTATTAATTGTATTTAAACACAATTGTTTATCTTAAAAAAGATTCCTCAACTTAATGAAAGTCAAAGTGAATCATAGGTACACTTCTAAATTCTGTTGTCTAATTGATTTCTAATCTTGCTGAACCATCCAACATCACTTAAAATATTGCTCCATATCTAATAATTATATCTATCATAATACCCATTATAATTTTATTCAACTTTATTTAAAGTAGCTATGGCTATTTAAGCATAATCCTTAAATGGCATTTACAAATTTTATAATGCTTTTATTTAAGTAAAACCATTTACTGTTGCTTCATGATGAAACAAAAAGAACAGATCCTTCTCTGAACTTATTTCAATCTTTATTGATTGTGGATTACTATCAGTTCCCCTTAATAAAATAATATTCTTACTAATTGTAAGACTCTCAGACGAATAGGTTCTGGTTAACTAAGTTCCTAGACTTCTGAGAATCGATCTTAGAATCGAATATTAATGTTTAAAATGCGATCATATAAGACTTTATGTCCATCTTTTAAGGCTGGATCTAAGTAATCAATTTCAGCAAAATCAAGTGGATTGATTTGCACAGCATTCAACCAAGAGCTGCCTGATTTCATTTTATATTTTGAAATTATTTAAAACAGTTAATAATTAAGAATTAATTTAGTTTAAGTGATTCTATTTTTGAATTATACAAAAGTGTTGAGAAATGCTGATTTAGATATAAGTTTTGGAAATACTAAATAATTAGAGAGATTAGGATGAATAAGAAATATGAAATAATTTATTATATTTAATATATAATAATATGTATATGTAAGAGTCAGATATTGAATAATAAATGTTGTATTAATCATTTGCTGAACAATAAGATGATTTAGAAGATAAACAAGTAATGGTGAGTAGTCTTACAGATATGAATGAAGGATAGGATGAGTCAATTCAGATAAATTTTGATAGAGAATTGTTCTCTTAATTAGAGGAAGATATTGTGATATTGTAGAGAAAGAATATTTACTTAACAGATTAATTAAAAGAGAGAGATAATTAAATTTCATTATTAAAAGAAAGATTGCAAAAATAAATATTTGTTAATGAAACTCATCATGTAGCAGAAGTATAACTAAAATAATAAATTGAAGAATTGAAGAGCAAAATAACAGAACTTCATTATTAAATGTCTATGAATTAAACATAAATTTAAACGATTCCTAAAATTAATTTAGATTTTAGCTGGGCCAATCATATAGAGAGAGATCATTCTCATGATGGTTTATCAGAATGTTATGATCGTTTTAAATATACTAAACGGCTTGTACCAATTTAAGTGAAATAACATCGTTAAATTTAACATAGTCCATATTTTGAATAATTATCTGATCGGAAACAAATTACATAAAGAAAACGTCTAAATAATTAATGATTTAATGTTTTGAATATTTACTTGCATTATTTTATTGTTCGTATATTTAATAATAATAAATATACTTATTGTTTTCTTGTAGAATTTATTTCAAAATTTGCGTTCCCTAATTCTGATAAATAAAAATAAAAATGAATCAAGATATTATTTTAAACAGATTGGAAAAAGAGTTTAATGGTGTTCAAAATGCAATTGATGAAGGAACTTTAGAGAATATGTCTGTCGAAGTGGCAAAAGAAAATAATTCCATCAATTACAGAAAATGGTTAATTACTATTTATGGAAAGGAAGGTACAATATGGGAAGGTGGTGAATTTCCTGGAATGTTGCATTTTCATAAAGGATATCCAAAAGAGCCTCCTTCTTATTATTGGTCGTTGTATGGAGGATAGTTTTAACATATGAATATTTATTCGAATGGAGCAACATGCATTGATATTTTGAATAATGAATTAGCCTATACAGAATCTACAAATTGTATAGAAATATTGAAGGGCATGGAAGGGTTTTTATATGCACCTAATCCAAAATCTCCAACAATTAGAGGATTGGCAAAAACATATGTAGAGAATAAATAACAATATGAATAATTGGTTAAGGCATTTGTCAAACATTATATGATAGAAAAAAAGAAAGCAAATAAGTGATTTATAAATATATAAATTTAATTAAAATATTTCATTTCTATTCATTAGTCATTGCTCCTCTTAATAAAAACAATCTTCAAGAGGAATAGATGGACTAATAGTACAAGATGTATCAGATGAACAAATCAAACAATTGTTTATTGTACACATTTTTCATTATCCTAATAACTATAATTAGCTTCATCACACTGCAGACAAACAGATAACTTGATGTCTTAAGAATACACAAATCTTAAACAACCTTCAGAACATTGTTAACATTGATGATTATTTAGATAGTATCCATCTTTGATTATTGACATCCATCTGTACATTTTTAGCATTTGTTTTCAGCAGTTAAATAGTAGGATTAATTACAAGATAAACAAAGATCTTAAGTTAAACATGTTAGACAAGGTTCAATGCATTTATTACATTTAGTTGCATCTAAAAAATATCCATCTTTACAAGAGTACAAGATAAACAATTATCTTAACATTTGATACACTATTAACCGTTAGGATAGTAATTGATATCACATTAGAGACATCACAAAGTTAGCAATTAGATTCATAGGATAGACATTCACTTTATTGGGCATAATATTTATTATTACATAATTGACATAGAATTTCAGAACAAGATATGCAATTAGATTTACAAGGTAAACACTATCCATCGATTAAATGATGAGAATTATTACAAATTAAACATTTATCACTTGTACAACTTTAACATTTACTTTCACAACTGACACAAATATTCAGATGTGGTACTTTAGGTTAGATACAATTATAACATAATTGTTCATTACAATCTATGCAATTTTCAGAACATTATATACAAGTATAATATTAAAGATAATATCCTCTATTACATTTTGTACAACCATTTTCATTGCATTCATCACAGGGTTGATTACATCGTTGACACTTATTATCTTTAAGTATATATTTTGATTGAATACAATTTTTACATTCTGTTAAAGATTTGCATTAGATGCACGGAGTTATACATTGTGAACATTATGATGATTTATCTAAAAAATATCCATCTTAACAAGCAGTACATTTATTATCTTTACAAGAGATACATGGAGTCTAACATGTTTGACATATATTATTAAATAAGAATAATCCTGTTTTACAACTTGTACATGTAATGGAATTAATACAATAATGACAAGGATAAGAACAAGATAAACATTTTTGATTCTCAAGATATTTCGTAAGAGAACATGCTGTACATTATATTGCACTATTTTTGCATTGAGTGAATCACATTGTAAACATTTAAGTTAATCCCAATCATAATAGTAACCAGAATTATATTTACAATTTTCCTTACAAATTTAATATTAATTATCTTTTAATTCATAATCAGGCATACATAACAAGCACGTAGAAATTGCAGAGAAATCACATTTTTTACAATTTTCTAATTCACATTTTTAACATTGTTGATTTGTAGTAACTACATATCCATCTAAACAAGATGTACAATCATTTTCATAATCTTTTCAAGTTCTACATGGAAATCTACATGGATAACAATCATCTAAATATGAAAAATATGCATCTACACATTTATCACATTTAACTTTGGAATTAGTATATGAACAACTTGAATAACATTTAGCAGGTCATTTGTTGCTTGTAGTCGAATTGTATTGATATGATGTAAATGAACATTCAGAACAATTAGTTGAAGAATTACTTACTTAACATTCAGATGGACATTTTATACAAGAATTTTCGATTCCTTAATAATATACTTTTAAAACAATTTAAACAACTTTTGAAATTAGTACAACCTTTACATCCATCCATTTGTTTTGAACATAATCAACATTCTGCATTTTATAGATATTAATCAGATTAACAACTTGTACAATTATCTTTTGATAATTAACAAGATTTACAATTTATATTACACTTCTCACAAATATTATTAGATGATAAGTAATAATTATTTGAACATTATAGACAATCACTACTTGATTATTCACAAGTCTTACATGATAAATTGCATTCATTACAAGTATTAGTAGATATATCTAAATATGATCCATTTCTACAAGAAGTACATGTTTTAGCATCGAATTTACATGATTTACAATTATCATCACAAATTAAGCAATTATTATTATTTGTAAATTAAGATATTGGACAAGTTTCACATGTATTTTCAGAATAACATTAAGTACATTAAGAATTAGCACAAGTTTTTATAATTCACAATTGTGCTTAATATTAGAGATAGCTGGTGATTTACATTTAATGCAATCATTAAATGAAGTACATTCTATACAATTAGAATCACATTCAAAACATCTATCATCCTTTAAGTAATATCCAACTTTACAAGAGGTACATTTTGTATTATTATTCATACATGTATTACAATCAGATGAACATACTTAACATGTATTATTTGAATCCATACAATAACCCTCAATACAAGAAGTACATGAATTTAGTGATGTACATGTCTTACATGGTTATTGACATACTTAACATATGTTTGAACTTAGAAATGTATTATCTTCACCTTAGAACAACATCCACCTAATGAACAAGATACACAACTGTTATTTACTAATTTATAATTTCGATCACAAGATAAACATTAATTGCTATTACATTAAATGTAATTATTCTATTTACAAGGAGAATATTAATTATTATTTAAATAGTAATAAGGTAAACAATCCTTAAAAACAGTTGAGTAATAACAATTATAACATGGAAATAAACATTTCTAATAAACTGGGGAATTCAATTTAAAATAACCTATTGAACATTAATTACAAACCTAAACTCCATTAATTATTGAACAATTCTCAGAACATTCTTCTCCACATGCTTAACATTTACTCTCTTTTAATGTAATTAATTACTTTCTATTATTTATGTTGGATCTACAAATATGCATCTTTTATCTTATTCATCAAATCTATATCCAACATTACAACTCAAACAATGTTTTTTTGATGTGCATGTCTTACATGGGCTTTCGCATTTAATACACTTATTATCTAAGCTCAAGTAATATGTGTCATCTATACAAATTGTACTATTATTTGCTGAAATCTCACATGTTAAACAAGGAGATTCACATGTTTAACAAGTATTGTAATATTATTTTTAGTGTTTTTTTTTCTCTTAAAAATAATATGTAATTTATTCAATTTTTAATATTTTATTTCTTAAGATATCTTAAAAATAATTAGTAATATATAATAATTGTAATTCAAAATTAAATGAATTTTATAAAATATATATAAAATTTATAATTTTAAGGACAATCAAAAACTTTTAATCAATAATTAATTTTTTTTTTATTTTTAATTTAATCAAACTTAAACCTGAATTTATTAGTACGGGGATATTTGATTTTCCATAACAAGTTTTACAATTGGAATCCGTATTTTGCAAATTAAATTTTCTTCAAAATATCCTAAAACACATTTAGTACATTAACTTGAATTTTTGCATTTAGTACAATTTCTAAGGACAAACATTGCAGGATGTCTTTTAATTAATAACAGTTTCATTACTATAATAACCATCCTCACATTTTGTGCAATAATCATAAGATCTACATTCAAAACATTTGGAAGGACATAAAGAAGAATTTGATTATGTATCTATTAATAATATATTAATAATATTATAAATAATAGCCCATTTAACACTCTTTCCAAATACTTGTATCTTCGCACTTCTAACAATGACTAATAGCTAATGAGCATAATTAACATCCCTAATTTGATAAATAATACCCACTTATACAAGATTCACATAGATTTTAAGATACAAAATCTTTTCAAAGTGATTGACATTAAACACAATCATTATTATCCATATAATATGTAGATGCACTATCAACACAAACATCAGCTGATGAGATACAAGTCTTACACTTAGAATTACATTATATACAAATATCAAAATTCTAATTATATCCATCATCAGTTCTTATTTTTACATTTTTAATAGCATTATCCCTATGCATCCAATTCATAATTGCATACACATTTTTCAACTCCCAATTATATGAGAAATAAGGATTACATTATTCACAATATTCATTTCCTTCTGAGTCAAATCGACATTATTAACAATTTGTATCAGTACATGAAATTATAAAACCCATTAAGTTATCTACATTTAACTTAATTCAGCATTTCCTATAATTGATTCTGATTTATAACTAATCAAGCAGAAACATTGCATATAATAATTGTCTTCCTCTGATAACTTTCTCTCTAAAAAAATTAAGACCATTCTATTTTATATTAGAGGACCATCAGTTATTACAATTTAAATTAATAAATTCCCATTATCAAAATGTTAGAATAGATTGAATTTATACTCTTTTCCATTTATCACTCTAAAGTAAGGTTAAGCATAACTTTATGAATTAGTTCCAATATCCCAACCAATCCCCTAAGGTTAATGTTACTTAATTGCTAAAAAAAATAAATTGTCATCAACAATATGATAAAACTCACCATTTAAAGAATCAATTATTTCTTCTTTATATAACTGACCTTCATTAGATAAGAGTAATTTTAATTAACCATATTAAGTCTTAATTTCGAAGAAACCTTCTAAACATTAGCATTTATCATTAAATAGTATTCTATTAGTTAAATTTGGATCTCCACAACTTAAACATTTATTTAGATTATCAAAACTGCAAGTAAGACAAATTAGAATTACATTTGAAACAAATATGACTTTTTAACTACTAGATTGTTCTTGATAATTCTATTAACAAATGCATTAATTATTTACATTCAATTTTCTTAGGAGAACAACTCAAACATTTTTCAGAGTTATTCTAATCAAAATTTAAACAGAGATAATTGCATGTTTCTATTTATAATGGAAGTAATAATAATAATACTATTATCATTTATAAATTGTTTATATTAATTAATTTAACAAAATATTCTAAGATAGTTTTAAAACAACTTCTCCTTTAAATGTCATATTCTTTATGATATCAATATTGATTATATTTATATTATGTTTTGATTGATCATATAATAATAATAATTATTATTATTCATTTAACCTACTCAACCTGGTCTAGCCCAACTCTTAGCAGGTGGTAATTCTCTCAAAGATAATTTATCATAAGGAGTATTACGACTATATAATATAATTCAAATATTTTTACGGCTCATTGGAATCTTTCTTTTAAACACTGTTCCATGAAGAAACTTAGAAACCTTACCAACCATAGGCTATGAAAATGAAGAATATCCAAGGTAATATTCTAGTATTCATAACTGGAGTATGAATATTGAAAATTCCATTTCTTTCAAATGAAGTTGTTCTTCTAAACCATGCCATTGTTGCTGGAGTTCTTTCTTTACTTATCAATCTATACTCTTACATGTTATAGCTGTCCTTCTAACCAATCCTTCAATTTATTAAGGAATCTCAGCTTGTACCTCAAACTTTCCAACATTTGCTGCAAGATAATCACTTTTCACTAAAATATTTGCCAATAACTCTACATTATTATAATACTCCAAATTCTGGTCCTACTTTATCATACTTATTGGTAAATAAAGGATCAAATTTACCAAAGGTCCTAGTCTCAGGTATGTAATTACTCATTATTTTTATTAATTAAATTATTTTAGATTTAATGTATGCTTTTAGATATTCATCATATATATATATATATCACTCCTAATTTATTTCCTTAAAACACTCCATTCAATATATTTCTCAATTATTGTAAATTAGAATTTTCTATATTACATCTAATTCAAATAGTACTGATTTAGCTGTTTATAGTCATTTATCCTTTTTCAATATTATCATCTATTTATACTTACTTAACTTTATTATATTAGTTATTTTATTAAATCATTTCAAATATATTCTTAGATCATAAACCCAATTTCAATATCTAATTATTTCATATTCCAATCAAACAAATATATAACTCAATTAATATAATTATCATTAATCTATTAGTAACAAGAAAGAAAATTCAATCTTTTTACTAAATCAACACAGCCCAACAAAATCACTATCAGAGGAATATCTCCATCGAATAATATATAAAGTCATCAAGATTAGAGAATTTATTAATATTTAACTCCATAAAAAATTATAGATTGTACAATAAAGCCTTCAATGGAAATTTAAGAGGTAGTTATAATTTATTATTATTCTATCTATAATAATAATTTTATATTTTATAATGTATCAACCTATTTCAAAGAAAATGATATAAGTAAAATAAGGAGAAATAATTAATATTTTTTATTATTAATTACTAATAATTCATCCATTATTATAAAGTGATGATGAGAGATAATAAATTTGAGTTTGCTCCAAAAAATAAAAATTATCTAATTAAGAAATTAAATCTAATATTTATTTCGGACTATAAACAAGAATTATAATTGTTTAGATCCAGTTTATTAAGTGGAGGAAATGAGAAATGTAAAAAATTAGGAAGAATAATATAATTCAGTTAAATTTAATACATAAGTTTCGAAGTTATAATATGGCAATTTAATAGTTTTCTCCCATATTTCATTTAAATTATTTTAAATCATTACTTTTAATCATTGTTTTAGGCAAAACTTTTTCAATTATTTTAGAAACTATCAAATGTTATAAAAAACTTGATATATCAGAAATTTTTGGTTAATAAAAGTCTGGTAGAATTTCAATTCCTTATATTTAGTAATATTTTTAAAGACTTAAACTAGTATTTTTGATAGAGTGTATATTTAAATTAAAATTGAAAATAAAAATTTATCACTGATGATGTTCAGTTCAATTAATTGTCAAATTGTATAATATAATTAAAGCATGTATTTTTAAGTTAAGAGTATACAGAAAAATACAAAATGATTTGAATGAAAAGTAAGAATAAGATTTTGAAATATATTATTAATTTTAAAAGAGTTTGAGGATGATAAATTTGTTACATTTTATGCAGAGGTTGATGGATTTTTATTTGGAATAGATGAATTTGAAAAGCAAATCTTATTATAAATTGATAGAGATTTTTGAGTAGTAATTTATTTGAAAATTTCTAAATGATAAAATTGTATTGTTCTTTATCTTTTTAAAGATTAATAATAATTATTAATAATATTAATTAGATGGAACCTCCTAAATATTAAAGTGTGGGAATAAAATACATGAATCTAGTTAAGGTAGAATAAAAATTTTAATTAATTTTTTAAAATAGGATTTGAAAAATAGATTAAGATATATTATGAACTCTTTTAGAAATATTGAAATTTATAAAATCTGAGATAGGAATGAATATGATTGATAAATAGTTAAGAAGATTAAATAATTAGCCAAATTTAGGAAGAAGATAGAGAATAATGAAAAAGGATATAAGAGAAGAAGTATATGTTGATGATTATAAGTTAAGAAAGTAAGAATGAATTTAATAAAATGGAGTTTGAAGAATGATTTAAATATAATTAATGCTGATTATCATAAATACTTTAAAATAAAATTTCAAATGAACTATTATGAATCAGATGATTTCTAGGATAGCGAGTATAGAATATAAGATGATGAGGATTAAAATGAGTATGAAGTAATATGGTAGAATGATATGATGAGATATGAGAATGAAGAGGGAAAGTATGAGTTATTGTAAAGTGTTTGATAGTATAGATTAAGTTGAAGATGAAAATGAAGATGTAGATGAGGAAGATATGAATTAGAGTGAGATGTAGAAGATATCTTCAACATTATGCATGAGAGAAGTAGAATCAGATAGTTCAGAAGAGGAATTCGAATGTGATGGAAAGTAAGTGTATATAAATGATATAATTTACAGTTTATCAAGAACTTGTAATTCAGGAACATTGTAGAAGTCAATAAAGAAGAAGAAAAGTAATAACTAAGAACCTGTATAAATTTAATTATTGATAGAGTTTGTTTATAGAAGAGAAAGATTAAGAAGTGGAGTGAAGAAGAGAACAAACGTTTATAAGAGTTATTTCAAATATACAAAGGAGAATGGGAGATTATATTGAAATATATGGAGGGAAGGACAGTTTCATAATGTAAATAACGTTGGTAGCGTTTGTGTGGGGGATAGGAGAAGAAGAAGAAATGGACAGAGGAAGAAGATTAGATAATTTTATCATATACAAAAGAGAATCCAAAATTTAACAGTTGGTAACAGATTGCTTCAAGTATAAAATAATAATTAAAGAGAGGAATGCAGGGTAGAAGTGGAAAGTAAATAAGAGAGCATTATATTAATCAATTACGTCCTGGAATTAGTACTAAATAGATTTGGAGTGAAGTAGAGGATAAATTGTTATTGCAGTTGTATTAAAAATATGGTAGTAAATGGTGTTAAATAAATAAACATTTTTAGGGAAGAGCAGTAATATATTTATATAGTTTAATAAAGGAAATAATGTTGAAAAATAGATTTAATAAATTGTAGAAGGGAAACTCTTACATTGATCACTTTCTCAACATAGATGGTGAATCAGAAAAATAATAATAATCTCACACATTCTCTTTTAATTGATTATATTTATAAATATATATTTCTATATATATATATAATGGGATCAATTTGTTAATCACATTCTTGTTCAATTGAATACACAACTTAATTAAGTACAAGTGTTAATTTTCTTAAACCAATAATTGATTAACATTTAGAAGATGAAATAATGGAGGAATCCTTATCACCTCTTACTGACTTTGAAAAAGAGTTTACTACAACTAAATCTATAATACCTAAATCTCCAGATGTTTTATAAAGATCACCTCTTAATTCTTAGACTCCTAATGATTCAATTGTGATTTAGAAGTTCCATATTACTTCTGATGATTTTGTGAAGTTTCGATTTCAAAACTATGCTGATTCCTATTTAATAGAACGATCTCTAGGATCAGGTAGCTATGGAGAAGTATTCATTGTAAGAAATAAATAAACTAGTAACATTTACTAAATATATTTAGATTAATTAAGAGCTATGAAACAAATTAAAAAATAATAAAGTTCTTTAAGTAAGAAATCTTTAAGAGAAATGGAAATCTTATCAAAATTAGATCATCCTTTTATTGTCAAAGCTATTGAAGTATTTTAAGATGAATAAAGTTATAATATGATTATTGAGTACATTTTATTAACTTATTAGGTTACTTTAAGGTACTGACATCTAAGAAGATATTTAAAACAATTCAAAATTCACAGAAGATAAAGCAGCCAATATTGGTTATCAATTATTATTGGCTATAAGTTACATCCATAATTAAGATGTTGTTCATAGAGATATTAAACCTGAGAACATTCTTTATCAATACAATAATGGCAATACACTAATCAAACTTATTGATTTTGGAATTTCAACTGAAATTAAAAAAAATAGAAAACTCAGTTCACAATTAGGATCTGTAAAATAATCTAAAATCTATTTAAGATGTATTTTATGGCTCCTGAAATTTTCAGTAAAGACTATGGAAAATAAATTGATATTTGGGCTTGTGGTGTAACATTGTTCTATATGATTCATAAAAGATATCCCTTTATGGGAAGAACCAATCAAGAAATGAAAAATGCTATCAAAAGTGGAAAACTCTCATTCGATAAATCTATTAGTCTAGAATTATAAGCTCTACTTAATAAAATGTTATAGGTTAATCCTAATAAAAGAATTACTGCTTAATAAGCATTATAAGAAGATTGGTTCATTAAACATAAATTTATTAGTTAAATCAATCAATAATTGATATTTAAATTAATAAATTATCATTCTACAACTCTATTTGAAGAACTTATATTCTCTCTAATTACCTATTATTGTTAAAATTGTGATGATCATGGATAAGCAATTTAAACTTTTTTATTTCTAGATTCTGATCAAGATGGTTTGATATCCAAATAAGAATTCAAAAAATCATTAAATCAACTCGAAATCAATTATTCTTCATAATTAATTGATGACCTCTATACAACCCTTAATAAACATTCAGATGATACACTCACTTTTAAAGGTATTTCAATTCAATAAATTAAAGAATTCTTAGCTGCTTCAGTAGCCAGAGATAAGATTTAAACTAAAAAATGTCAGAAGATTTGTTTTTAATTGATCGATTATGATCAAGATGGTAAAATATCAGAATAAGATTTCTGTCATCTTATGGGTAAGAATCACTCCAATCTTTGGCATGTCCTTAATCCCTCTGATAATTTATATATAACAGAAGAAGAATTCTATTACATGTTTAAATCGTGATTATTAATACTCTTATATATATATATATAACTATCAAGATGCTATCATTATCTTATATAATCAATTAATCTACTATTCACAATTAATTTTTTATTTATGTTTGAACCTAATTTCTCAAAAATCACTTCCATAAGATGACTTCGAAAAGTATTTCAAGACAACACTACAAGAAAATTATTATATGAACTGTTTAGATATTGATAAAAATTATAAAATAAATTTATGTCTAGATAGAGCATCTATATGATTCATTAAGACTTGTATAAAAGATCATAAATTCATTTGATCGTCTGAAAGAGAAAAAGATTTACTATCAATTAAATGGATAGAATGTATTGGATTTGAAGAAGGATTAAATACTGTGATTATTAATAATTTATGTAAATATTGTTGCTCTTTTTTGCATTTTTGAATTATGTCAATGGTGAATGCTGTAAACATTTTATTATAACACTATAGACTATTATCAAGCAGGATTCTAACGCTTCTGTGATGAATGCTGCTATTGGTATGATGGTGATTGGTATTGCGAAACATATTAATATTGTTACACTGTTATTATAGTTACTATATCAATTTGGATTGCCATATGTTTAATCTATTTGGGTCTCTATTTCTATGTTAGATATAAGACTTAATAGAGAATAATTCTAATCCATAATAGATCAGCTAAAGCATAAAGAGAAAATATTGTTTAGGAGACTTCAAAAAGAAAGGAAATACCAAATTAAACAATTGAAGTAACAACCATGGATGTTCAAATTTCAAATGATTAATTATGAACTTTATTTTTTATATTTAATGTTGTTGCTATTTATTTTCATTGTGCCTTTGATTAGTTAAACATGTTTCAGTAACAGAGCTGCTGTAGATTGTAAATATTTGAAATGTTGCACTCAAGAAGGTTTCTGTGCTGTATATGAGAGTGAATGTTATTACAGTGCTGAGAAATGTATAGATTTCTAACATTTTCATATTAGATTCATGTGATTATGCTGAATGTGATTATTGTTGTATTTACAATGGAGATACTGTTGAATGTGGAACATAAGATTAATGCTTAGCTTGGATTTTTATATTACTAGGTTCTTGGCTATTATTAACATTAATTGTAATATTTGCAGCTATCAGTCGAAAAAGAAATATAGCCACTCGGATGATTGTTATTGCTGAAAAAGCTAAACTTGTTGCTTAAGATAACTCAAGAAAATCTATTGTTTCATAAATTATTGGACCTGAAGAAATGTATGGATAAGAATTTTAAATTGATAAAGATAACTATAATTTGTAATTATGATTTTTTTTATTTTGTTTTTTTTGTTTTTCATTCATAAAAATTAGAATTCTATTTTTATTGTAATATAATTTTCTCTTTGCATTATTACATCTTCTAAAATAATTCCTTTTTTGAAGGATTAATACAAGCGGCAGTTTTTCTCTCTTCAACTGCCTCTTATAATGTTTCAACTACAATTCTTTATGAGATTTTCTCATCAGTTTCTAAAAGATCCAATGTTNATACATATTTTAAATGAATATTCTACACCCATTTGTATTTTATGTCTAGATAGAGCATCTATATGATTCATTAAGACTTGTATAAAAGATCATAAATTCATTTGATCGTCTGAAAGAGAAAAAGATTTACTATCAATTAAATGGATAGAATGTATTGGATTTGAAGAAGGATTAAATACTGTGATTATTAATAATTTATGTAAATATTGTTGCTCTTTTTTGCATTTTTGAATTATGTCAATGGTGAATGCTGTAAACATTTTATTATAACACTATAGACTATTATCAAGCAGGATTCTAACGCTTCTGTGATGAATGCTGCTATTGGTATGATGGTGATTGGTATTGCGAAACATATTAATATTGTTACACTGTTATTATAGTTACTATATCAATTTGGATTGCCATATGTTTAATCTATTTGGGTCTCTATTTCTATGTTAGATATAAGACTTAATAGAGAATAATTCTAATCCATAATAGATCAGCTAAAGCATAAAGAGAAAATATTGTTTAGGAGACTTCAAAAAGAAAGGAAATACCAAATTAAACAATTGAAGTAACAACCATGGATGTTCAAATTTCAAATGATTAATTATGAACTTTATTTTTTATATTTAATGTTGTTGCTATTTATTTTCATTGTGCCTTTGATTAGTTAAACATGTTTCAGTAACAGAGCTGCTGTAGATTGTAAATATTTGAAATGTTGCACTCAAGAAGGTTTCTGTGCTGTATATGAGAGTGAATGTTATTACAGTGCTGAGAAATGTATAGATTTCTAACATTTTCATATTAGATTCATGTGATTATGCTGAATGTGATTATTGTTGTATTTACAATGGAGATACTGTTGAATGTGGAACATAAGATTAATGCTTAGCTTGGATTTTTATATTACTAGGTTCTTGGCTATTATTAACATTAATTGTAATATTTGCAGCTATCAGTCGAAAAAGAAATATAGCCACTCGGATGATTGTTATTGCTGAAAAAGCTAAACTTGTTGCTTAAGATAACTCAAGAAAATCTATTGTTTCATAAATTATTGGACCTGAAGAAATGTATGGATAAGAATTTTAAATTGATAAAGATAACTATAATTTGTAATTATGATTTTTTTTATTTTGTTTTTTTTGTTTTTCATTCATAAAAATTAGAATTCTATTTTTATTGTAATATAATTTTCTCTTTGCATTATTACATCTTCTAAAATAATTCCTTTTTTGAAGGATTAATACAAGCGGCAGTTTTTCTCTCTTCAACTGCCTCTTATAATGTTTCAACTACAATTCTTTATGAGATTTTCTCATCAGTTTCTAAAAGATCCAATGTTTTCTTCAAAGCAGTCAAATCAGTAGATGATCTAAGTGATTTAATTTACTCTGGAGACTTAGTTTTTTATACAGAATTTTAAATTGGTAAAGATCTTTTTAAATATTCTTAAGGTGATTTCTTTACTTATACTTATTAAGCAATAGGTTAAACATTAATCTGTGGTTTAATTGGTTCTATTTTTTGTTCTTTTTTAGTTGAAGCATTCTATTCCAATTCTTTAAGAATTTCTAAATTTTCTCTATTTTATTATGATGGCAAATCATCACTTTTTTCAATAACAGTGTAATTTAGATTTAATGTCTAATCCATAATCTATGTATATTGAGTTTTATTGCATCTATTTTATGTTTCAATTTCAATAAATTAACTCACATCTAATAATTGTTATTGTAATTTGGATTGACGTTCATCACTCAATTATTAATTCTCAATAGATTGTAATAACTTAAAGAAAATCAATTTGATTATCTTTGATGTTGTTGTAACTAAAACAAATGATAATTGATATCTGATTTCTGTTAGGAACTTATCAATTTAAATGCTTTGGAGATAACTTACACAATAATTCAAATGATGAAATTTCAAAAATGTGAATATGAATTATGCCATCAAACAGATCCAAAAGATTGAATTAAATACACCTAACAAATCAAATATTTATTGGATTAAAATCAAGACAAACCTATAAATATATTGAATTAGTTTTACCATTAAAAGATTAACACCTAATAATTTTATGGATGAATGATTTGAATTGCTGTCTTTGCTGTTAAAAACACAAATAAGATGATTTAAAAATTATTCATAATTAATGTAAAAATTATTGTTTTTTTGATAATAATATTATATTATATATATACATTGCTATATAATGATGAAATTAAAGAGTCATGAAGTCTAAATAATAAATATTATACTATAAATAGATAATAATGTATAAAAATAATGCAAATTACTTATTAATATGTTTTATGATTAGAATTTTTAATTATAACAGTTAATTTAAAAATCAATGAAGTCGAACAATGAAAACAATTATGTACGAGTATCATACAATAACTTTGTAACAACACGTAATCGATAATTTGGAAATGAAATAACAAACATCTAACGTCAACCAACTCGATCTACATCATAATTCATCTGTTCTAAACCAATGTTAAAAATTGAAGAAGAAACACCTCTCCCTGTTCCTGAATTAGTAAATCCATATGTTGGTGATATTTTTGAATATCTACGTGTTAATCAATAGAAATTCATGTGTTAGACACCATTTTACATGAACTTACAATTAGACATTACTAATTAGATGCGTTCAATTCTAATTGATTGGCTTGTCGATGTACATCTTAAATTTAAATTACAATCTGAAACACTCTATATAACCATCAATCTAATTGATCGTTATCTTGCCAAAAATACAATCATGCGAAATAAACTCTAATTAGTAGGAATTGCTTCACTCTTCATTGCATCTAAATATGAAGAAATCTATGCTCCAGAACTTAAAGACTTTGTCTGCGTTTGTGATAATGCTTACACAAAAGAAGAAATATTAGGTATTTATCAACCTTATTATTATACCAGAAATGGAAAGTAAAATTTTATTGACCATCCAGTTCCACTTGACCTTCATATCCCCACTCAAATTTCTAGAAAGATAAATTACAGGAGCCAATCTCTGCGATAAAATCAACTTTGCATCTAGAATGATCCTAGAATTATCACTACTAGATATCAGATGTCTCAAGTATTCTTATACCTTTCTATATTAAGATTTTCATCTTCCCTATTAGCCACCACTGCCATTCTATTAGCTATTAATTTACTTCGATCTCCATAAGTACTACCTTCATCGCTTCATTATGTTGATAATCAAGAAGATCTTAGACAATGTTTATAAGAGTTCCTTCCAGTCATCAAATTATTATAAAGTACTAACATGACCGCTATTAAAAGAAAATATACTCTTGACAAATTCAATAAGATTGCTGAATAAATCATGACAATCTTACATAATTAAAAATGAACCATAATCAATTATACTCTTATTCAAATTATTCTAAAGTCAAAATTAAATTTTAATTTTAACTTATTTATATATAAATATATATATTATAAATTATTTCAAAAAAAAATAACTGCTCTCTTGTTCCTTAATTATTTATATATTTAATATAAAACTTTCTTTCTTTCTTTTTACATATTTATGATTTTGATTACATAATGTTATTTGATACTATTCTTATTAATATTAATAGAATGGAATGATATGTTAAGAAAAAATTAAAGTTTAAAGAGAAAAATTAATTGATATTTACTTCCATTAATTTTATTTAGTATTTGATAATAAGAATATTCGATTTTTATTATTTTTTGCTTAAAATAAATAGGTATTCTATTCTCTTAACAAAATTTCATTAATTTTGAAACAAAAATAATCTTCCTTTATTTATTAATCATTTGAAAATAAATGATTAATAAATAGATTTAGAATTTGTAATTAAGTAATGTAGAAAATATTATAATTAATTAGATAATAATCTAAAAATTAAAATTAAAACATATTATTTGGAATTTTAATTACTATTTTTTATTAAATTATTTTTATCTCAAACAACTATTACGTATAATTAATTTAAAAAATTGAATTTATCTATGGGTGTTTGGTAAATCTATTCTAAACTACGACAAAAAAGAATAATATTAATACAAAATTATTTCCAGATTTATATATCTAAGCGACTTTGATTTTCAAACATATTACGAGATAAAAAAATTTTAAATAGTGAAAAATCATTTCCTTTTAAGAAGAAGCTAAGAGATTTTTCAAAAATTACCAATTGCTTAAGTTTCAAATTTTATTTTTCTAAGTAAAATATTTGAAGATGATTGTATTAAATTGTCAAATGTCTTAAATATGATAATAAAGAAGATCAAAATGAAAGTTCTAGTAGTTCAAATTTTTGATTATTAAGTGATAAAAAGATAGATTAATTATATATTAATTTCTATCGTTAATTAAGACTACTGACAATTTTATCGAATATTATTGAAAGAGAGATAAAGGAATATTGATTCAAAAAGATCTTGAAATCATATTATTTAAAATTTTAAACTATAACAAACGATATGTATCTATAAAAATAAAAATACTGATTCTATAACACAGAAATTTAAAATCAAAACTAAAACTCTTATCATGGAAGTCTTTTTTTTTTTTCAAATTTATTTCTAAGGTAATCATTCCATAAATATAATAAATCTGTAAATTCAGAGGAGTGTTGGGTGAATTTTTTCATCATGGAATTATTTTCTTTTTTCTCAGTCTTTTCTATTTTCTAATTATGAAGTTCTTAGCAAGAAGGAGATATTTCAGAGGTGTGATTAGACTTTAGGTCGTCATCCAAATTGTCAGCATCACCAATTATTATTAATGGAGAAAGTGAATTTTAATGTAGCTACTGCATGCCTAATTAATTAAAATATAATTAAAAAAATTGGTATTTAAAACAACTTTTATAAAGGCTTTTTTATATATTAGTAAAATGAAATTCACTATTTTTAAATAGCATTATTTATAACATTTCATATCTTTGATCATTATACATAATTAAGCTAATTATTTTAAATAGATGAAGCAATATAAATATTATATAATCAAGTTTTCATAACTATTTAGTTTCAAATTTTTTTACTAAGTACCCATTCCACTTGTATAATTACTCAGTAAAGTCTTAAGAACGAAATTTTCTTCTTTGAGCAGTATTTTCCATATCAGAATTCTTTCTTCCTGATTAGATGGTTGTGTTGTTTGAAGAAGATTGGCTTGATAATTCTAAGTCATCTATAAAATTAATAGGACTATTGTCTCCCTCTATAATTAGATGTTTTAAAGGACTCTGTATTATGTTTTACATGATTAATTTTTATTAATAAAATGTATATGTACTCTAATCTCATTTTATATCACAATGTTTTTCATCAGATATTAACATAAACTCAACATTAAGATATATTGATTTTAGATAGAGAAAAAGAAAAGAAGAATTTTTATAAATAAGGATGATAATCATTTATAATATAAAAAAATATGATTGCCAAGAATATCTAATTATTACTAAATCAATTAACTTAATCACAATATCATTATGAATTTTCAAACCCTTGTATAGTTTTAAGAACTAGTGCAAAAAAAACCTATTCAAATTAATGACTTTGAAGTTAAAAATAATCATTAAAAAAACAATTGCTATTGCAAAATTAGAAAAAAATATTTCATCAAGAAATATCAGAAATATTCTATATATACTAACATTATAATATTTCTCAAGTATAAATGCATAATTCTTGTATATATCTATTAACTATAATTTTAATTTATATATAAATTTTCCGATAATTTTTTTATAATCTAATTTATTAAATAATTGAAAGATTCTCAGTTATTATTTGTTTTAATTTAAAGAAAAAATATACTATTTAGATTTAATTAAATAAGTTATAATCTTTAATTACATATTTTTGAATACTTTAATTACATTATATCGATATTTCAAATAATGAAATAACAAGTAGAAAGAGCTTTTTAATTCTAAAAACTCGATTATCATAAAATGCTAAAAATCAAATCATCATTTTACTATATATATGACTTAAGTTTAGAGTTTTAAATAATAAAAGAATATATATAAACTTAGCTTAAGTCAGTTACTAATTCATTTAGATATAAGGTATTTTGTTTTTATTATTGAATCGTATTCAGTATATAAGACTGGTTTGAAATCATAAACTTATCTGAAATTATTAATATTTTTATCATTGGATGATATGAACAATCATAAAATATATTAAGATATTTATTTTCTTGTTTTTTGTACTATTAACATATATTATGAAAGAAATATTTATAACTCTTTGAACATCTCGATAATTAATAAGACCAGAATTGAAGTAATATTATTTTTTAGTATTTGTTGATTTGTATCATTCATTAATTTAAACTGATTATATTTTATCTAAAATATTTTGTAATGGTTCAAGGTTATCATTGAAAGTATATTTGTAGAAAATTAATTGAAATAAAGCATAATTTTTGAATATGAAACAGAATTTATAATACATAATTTTTAAAAAACTTCAAATTTAATATTTAATTACCAACTTTTGAAATAAAGAAATGTCAGAAGAATAAAATTCAATACTAACAACAATTAAGTATTACAAAAGTATTTTAAAATTTCCATCTTTTCCAAAATAATATTCAGAATTAGATGAGACTTAGGAATAGAATGAACTTTTCTTTTGTAATTCTAAATAGAGAAAGGAGGAAAGCTTAAAACTTTTAAAAGAATGGGCTTAGAATAGAATGGAATTATTTGAAAAGAATAGAGAAGTAGTGGAAGAATTAGCTAATTCTTGTGACTATAGAATACGATTATCTGTAGATTTTCTCTAAATAGTTTACAAATTTTTTAATGAGAAATATTTCCATGAATAATAATATGCTTAATTTCTGATAACAAAACCTTAAGTTGCATTGAAATAGAATCCATTAAATCAATTATTATATTCTGGAATAGGATCTTCAATATCAACATTTGAAGAATATAATTTAAAAAGATTAGAAAAAATAGCAAACTTTGCCCATACAATATAAACAGAAATATTAAAAGCATAATCATTTAATGAGTTAAGTGATATGGATAGATAATTAGATTTACTTTTAAGTTCAATAATCACATAAAAGAAGTTGCTTTAAAATTACATAACATCAGCAGGTTAGAAATTAAATTTAATAATTTAATAATTTCCTCAAAATAATACATCTTAAAGATAGAGAAAACCAATTTTTGATGATTAATAATAACAATAATAATAATAATAATAACCATAGTAAAGTAGAACTGATAAAATATTATAAAATATCTCTGCATTAGGAACTTTATTAGTTGGAGCATAATCTTTATAAGATCCAGTAGAAATGGAACTTAATTAATAGATGAAAGATCAAGAAAGATAAATAAGAGAATAATAATTAAAAGAGGAATAAAGTTTAAGTAATGGAAGTGAATTATAACAAGAAAAATAGTAAAAAGAAGAATAATAATAAGAAACAAACACTAATAAATAAGAGGGATAAGTAGATCAATAAATAAAAAATGAATAGAAAGTAGAGAATCAAGAATAATTAGAAGAAAATTAAACAGAATAATAGATTGAATAATAATCTTAATAAGAGAAATTATCTTAGAAACAACCTGAAACTTTTAGTGGTGCAGAATATTATAAACAATAATAACAATTAAAAGAACGATAATAATTTGATTAAAATAAAATGAGATCTAAAAATTATTAATCTTAAACATAGCCAAATATTCAACAATAAATTAGACATGAGGATGATGGAAGAAAATAATCTAATTAACCAGTTGATCTTTATAGAATTATTATCAGTTTTGTAGCTACTTAATAGTATGCAAATAAATTATTAAATTAATTGGCTGAAAAAGTACTATAATATTGGAAATAAGTATATCTCATTAATGTATTTATTAGGTTGCTGCTATAGAATAAAAGCGTGCATAATGGGCTAAAGATTCATGTTTAATCTATTAAAAAGGAATGGCAGAAGTACACAATTTATAAGTAGAATTACCTGAATTAACAATCGATGTTGACTAACATTACAACTTAAAGAAATTATTACCTAAAGAAATAGCATAATTTGAAGATGGTCATTAAGATGAATTCATTTCAACTTTAGTTATAAAAGAAATTGGATGTTAAGCAGCAAGATTGTTATTGGTTAAGGAATTCAAAGTCCATGTTATTGATAAAAATAACGAATTATAAGCTATTTTAGTATTAACTATAGATAAATATGTTGGTTGTTGGTTAAAGCATGATGATACCATGGAAGGTAATCATATTTTAATTTTAGCTGTTGACAATCCTGTTCTACATTATCCTATTAATGGCATGGCTATTTAGAAAGTTAATGAATTAACATTAGATATTATGCCTTCTAGACATTTATTGTTTTTGAATGTAATCATAATTATTTATTATTAGATTGCGAATGATAGATAAAAAAGTAAAATTAAGTTTCAAACAGCTGATGACATGGAAGAATTTTGTACGATTTCATAAGCAAAGGGTTGATTATATTGAGTATAATATCATATCATTTAATTGTTTTATGTAAATAATAATTTTCTTGTCTCAAACACAAAGCTAATTTCTAGTTTAAGTCAATTCTAAAATAAAATTTAAAATAACAATTTCTAACAAAGAATTTTATAATTCTTTCTATATCAATTATAATTGGTGATAAAAAGGATAAATTTTATGGAATATTTTATATACAAAATAATAAATAAATCTTAATTAATTTTTTTGCTCAAATCTGTTTTTTATTCATTTTTTCAAACATTGTGCCTGTAAAATCAAATTTATAATTTGTTTAAATTCTATTTAAAGATTTTTCTTTCAATTTTGATATTAATTCTTTGTTTTTAATTTCTCTTGATATAAATTTGAATCATAACTTTATTAGATTTCTATTACAATAATGCTAATAATTGAAGAGATCCTACTTTTTTTGGATATTTATAATATATTTATTAATACAAATCTATTTATTTTTCTCTTTCATCTCCGCTTTATTTATAATCAAATTAATGAATTTTCTATTCTTAATAAATATAATTAAAATATTAATAATAACTTTAAAATAGAATTTTTATTAATGAAGTTTTACCAGATTAAGGGTTGCCTAAAAATAAAGCAATTGGATATTTTTTGCAATTTTCTTACAATACAATGTATTCTTATATTTAAGGATTCTATTAATTGAATGAATCATTTTAAAATAGTATATTAATTGAATTCATATCGACTAAGAGCCCACTTTTTTTGCATTTATCTACTGATCTTTGAAGTTAATTTAAATAGTTTTCTTCTCTACCCACAGTTTAATTTGTTTTTTTAATATTATCAATTTTTTTCTTATTGATTATCTGCATCATTTATTAGATTTAGCATCCTCTTAATTATTTGAATTAATTTGAATACTATTTTGACGAAAAGTTCTTAATTTCTCTTCTAAATAATTCCATGAATACGAATTTGAATCTACATTAAAAAAATGATGGTTTATTAATTTTAAAATTGAACTATAATTGAAATGCTTTACAGTTTGATGAAATAGTCTCACTAATTTAATTATAATTCATTAAAAGGGCTTCTAGAAGATTATTTACTTAATTTTCATTTTTCATGTAATGATCAATAAAGGAACTCAATTAATCATAATTCATGAGAAGTAATGCTTCCTTGGATAGATTATACTTTTGTTTTAATTTATCTTCAAATGATTTAAGTAGTTTTGCAATATGATGAATTTAATCATTTATAGTAAAATTTTAAGTTTTCTATATTAAATTCAAGCATTTCAGAATGATCATGTATATTTTAATGATGGGGTTTTCCTTCTTCTGTAAATTAGAAACATCATATTCTGTTCTCATGTGAATATTCATTTAAACAGAAAAAGGCAGGTTTATCATGTGTAGGACAGCTAAATAGTAATCATGTTGAAGATGAAATTAATTCAAATGATAAAATATTAAGTTTTAAAGGTGTAATAGAAATGAGTTAATAACCATAATATTTATAATAAAAAAATAAAGTTTTTAATAAATTTATTGAAATAGAATAATGAGAATATATGCAATGATTATAAAAATGCTAATGATAAATAATATGATCTAAGCTTGCCAGGTCTGAGCATTAACTATTTTTTTGATAGTATAAAAAAGTATTAAAAAACAAGTATATAAAATTACTGTAAAGAAAGATGATAGTTTGATCATGTTTCTCCTTCAGTTTTGATTCTTCTTCAATTTTCCCAGATTCCACTTTTTTTCTCCAATTTCAGTGATAATAAAACCTTTACCATTTTATTTTCCCAGAACCCATTCGCTTTCATATTTTTTTCCATTATTCCAAGATAACATATCTTAACCATGTTTTTTATCATTTAAATAATATCCTTAATAGTAATACAGTTTAATCATAACCATTCATTTTACTGTTTAACCAATTTCCAGCATAAGTTTTTCCATCATTCCAAACTAATTTTCCATAACCTTTTATATCATTATCTAAGAAATCTCCTTCATATAAATTATTATCAGCAAATTTTAATTTTCTTTTTCATACTTTGTAACAAATGTAAAAATTCACTAAATTGAATGATTTTGAATATTTCATATTTAGATTCATCTGACCATAAATCAATTTCATAACCGTGTTATTAATCATTAACCCAATCTCTTTTATAATATATTATGTACACCTCCTGAATTAGAATAAGTTCCTTTTCATTTGCCATATCATTAACCCATTATCCATTACTAATAATAATAAAAGATTATAATGTACATAATTGAATTCCTTAATCATGTCTCATACTATCGAACCAATCACCTTCATAATAACCTCCATTTACCATTTTAATCCTTGTTTATTTTTTATTTANGGATAGATTATACTTTTGTTTTAATTTATCTTCAAATGATTTAAGTAGTTTTGCAATATGATGAATTTAATCATTTATAGTAAAATTTTAAGTTTTCTATATTAAATTCAAGCATTTCAGAATGATCATGTATATTTTAATGATGGGGTTTTCCTTCTTCTGTAAATTAGAAACATCATATTCTGTTCTCATGTGAATATTCATTTAAACAGAAAAAGGCAGGTTTATCATGTGTAGGACAGCTAAATAGTAATCATGTTGAAGATGAAATTAATTCAAATGATAAAATATTAAGTTTTAAAGGTGTAATAGAAATGAGTTAATAACCATAATATTTATAATAAAAAAATAAAGTTTTTAATAAATTTATTGAAATAGAATAATGAGAATATATGCAATGATTATAAAAATGCTAATGATAAATAATATGATCTAAGCTTGCCAGGTCTGAGCATTAACTATTTTTTTGATAGTATAAAAAAGTATTAAAAAACAAGTATATAAAATTACTGTAAAGAAAGATGATAGTTTGATCATGTTTCTCCTTCAGTTTTGATTCTTCTTCAATTTTCCCAGATTCCACTTTTTTTCTCCAATTTCAGTGATAATAAAACCTTTACCATTTTATTTTCCCAGAACCCATTCGCTTTCATATTTTTTTCCATTATTCCAAGATAACATATCTTAACCATGTTTTTTATCATTTAAATAATATCCTTAATAGTAATACAGTTTAATCATAACCATTCATTTTACTGTTTAACCAATTTCCAGCATAAGTTTTTCCATCATTCCAAACTAATTTTCCATAACCTTTTATATCATTATCTAAGAAATCTCCTTCATATAAATTATTATCAGCAAATTTTAATTTTCTTTTTCATACTTTGTAACAAATGTAAAAATTCACTAAATTGAATGATTTTGAATATTTCATATTTAGATTCATCTGACCATAAATCAATTTCATAACCGTGTTATTAATCATTAACCCAATCTCTTTTATAATATATTATGTACACCTCCTGAATTAGAATAAGTTCCTTTTCATTTGCCATATCATTAACCCATTATCCATTACTAATAATAATAAAAGATTATAATGTACATAATTGAATTCCTTAATCATGTCTCATACTATCGAACCAATCACCTTCATAATAACCTCCATTTACCATTTTAATCCTTGTTTATTTTTTATTTACTCCTCTGGTACTACTTTGTAAGTATTCATCATTAAATATTTTATTATCCTTTGCATATAAGTAAATGAATTGAACCATAAAAAAATGATTTTTCTTCGGTTTACTTTTGTTTTTTAACCATAATCTAATCATTTGGATCTCTTTGTGTTTAAAGTTCTTATTCCGTTTATTTGTTTGGTATGCAATTGCATCTTCTCATTATTAAAAATTAAAAATTAATATTATAGTCTTGATTACTTAAGTAACAATTGAATAAATGTTAAGATATTTGTGAATACAATATAATATAATACATAGATAGATATATAAATGAATAATATTAATTAAAATATGGATAAACAATAATTATTTTCAGAATGCATACGTATTCTTTAAATAACACCATTGCGTAGAAGTCCTGAAGAATTAAACCTCCTTCTAAGTTTTGCAAGGACTATTACATTTTTCAGAGAATTAGGAGAACAGTCCCCAGAAATGCTACAACGATGCATTTTAGTACTCTCCTATCGGACAATTAAAGGCAAAGAGGTATGATTGTGGGTTCTCCACTGCCTCTAGGTACTCTTCAAAGTGGGTGACTCAGGAAGTTTGTTTTACGTGATTCTCAGAGGATCGGTAGGAGTCAATATCAGATTGCCAAACCCTGAAGATCCTCAATTATTCGAATTGAAGGAAGTTAATACACTTAGAGCAGGTATTGGATTTGGAGAGTTGGCTTTAATCAATGATTCAAAAAGAACAGCTACCATTATAGCTAAAGAAGATTGTGTATTTGCAGTAATGGAGAAACATCATTACAAATCTATTTTAGGTGCTTAAGAAATGGCAAAAATATAAAATAAGATTTCCTTTCTCTGTTCATTTCCATTCTTTAGTTCTTGGTCTTTCAGAGAAATTAAAACTATAAGCTATCATTTTGAACCTGTATCTGTAACTCTCAATTAAGCAATTATTAAATAAAATGAATATTGTAATCATTTCTATGTTGTCAGGGAAGGAGAGTTTTAAGTACAATTCAATTACAAAAACAAGTTATTTTGTATGTATTAATTCAGTAAAGTTATATTTATAGTTGCACTCTTGGTCCTGGTGAATCATTTGGAGAAGAAGCATTTTTAAATAATGAAGGTTAATTCTTAATAAAGTCTTCAATATTTATTTAATGGGCTAAAACAAAATACAATATTGTTTGTAAAAGTGAAACTGGTATAGCATACAAAATCACTAGGGAAGATATCCAAAAGTAAATTTAATATGTCTATTTAGAGACGATTTTGGGATAGCAAGACCTAGATTGTTTTTTTATAATTATTAACATCTATTCATCATTTTAGAAGCATTAAATCAGATTAATTCATTAAAGAATATGAATAAAAGAAACTTAAAGAGTAAGAATAAATGAATTTCATACATCCAAAAAAGAGTTTTGTTTAGAAATTCAACTTATTATCATAAAGAAATACAAGCAGTGAGATTGAGAAGGATGTTTAATATGATTAATTCAAATTATAAGAAAAATAAGCTATTTTACAATTTACAAAATTGATGAAAGATAGAAATTGTTCATATGCATAAGTAAGAACCTTCTTTGATTAACGTAAATTCAAATCTTAAAATTACTTTAATAAACGTTTTTATCATAGATAGTTCTTTAGGTTTTCAAATAAAATTGATGAGAAACTCAAATAAGATTAAGATCATTAGATTGATGAAATACTAACATATAGTACTAACCAATAACATTTGGGATATAATAATAATTCTCATCATTATCCTCTTACTTAAGTCTTGAGTAGTCCAAATACTGTTGATAAATTCATAAAGAGAATCAAAAGTAAAGTACAAATACAGATGAAAAATGAAGAAAATAACACTTTTATTAATATTCGAACTCATAGTCCTACCTCTCATAGAAGTATTAATAGTAAAAGACTTAAGACTTATATAGATTGAGTAATATGAGTATGTTTTAGTGTTTACTGAAATCGAATTAATTATGTATTTATAAAACTACTTCTAATTAAAAATGTTTTATTAATGATAAAATAATAAAATATATAGCAATTATTCCCTAACTTATAAGAATAATCTTACAAGACTCTTGAATAAGTTTATGAAAATATTGCTTTATAATAATTCCATGTGTTAGTTTAACAAATAAAAACTAAGTTTCCAATACCAAATTAAATCAATCCTGTTTAATTTCCTACACAGGAGAATGTAATTGATTTTTTTTAGAATTACAAACCAATTATTTTAGATTTGGCAAACATAAATGATGTTAAAATAAAGTTATACAAAAATGCAGCATTCTATGGAACTTTGATAGATGGTTTAAGGTAAGGACAAGGTATTTTAATTAAATCAACATTATAACTTTATGAAGGTTCTTTTATGAGAGATAAGAAGGATGGAATAGGATTTGAATTACTGAAACAAAATCAATTTTATTATGGTACATATCTAAATGGTTTGCCACATGGAGAAGGAGTATTCTGGTCAAAAAATTAAAAGTATATTGGTTAATGGCATTAAGGAAAGAAAGTATAGAATTATAAATAATATTTAAATAGCATGGAATAGGATGGTATTAAGGAAGTCATAATGATTATTATTTAGGATAATGGGAAAATGGTAGATGTTTTGGACTTTGTATTTTTATTAATGGGGATATGTATTAACTGATTAATAATTTTAGATTTGTTGGTCATGTTACAAATGATCTAAAACATGGAAATGGTTAAGAGTATTTTGAAAATGGTGATTATTTTAATGGGGAATATAGAAATGGTAAACCGAATGGTTATGGTGAGTTTTATTGGAATAATGGTAATTTCTATAAAGGTGAATTTATAAATGGATAAAGAAATGGATATGGAGTGTGGGAAAGTAAAACATAAGAAGGAATAAATACTTATAAAGGATAATATGTAAATGATAAAAAATGTGGAGAAGGAATATTTGAATATGCAAATGGAACTAAATATTAAGGTTATTTTGTAGATGATAAAAGATGTGGTTATGGTGAAATCACATGGTAAGATAGAGCTACTTATAAAGGATATTGGGTTGATGGATTAATGGAAGGAGAAGGAATCTATGAATATGATACACTTGTACTTAAAGGTAATTGGAAAACCAATTAATTATAAACTATTGATAAAGTTAGAGTTTCATTAAATCAATTTCCATAATAACATAATTTAAAAGAAATTAATGAAACTCAAGACATTTTATCATAAATGGCTGATGAACCTGATTAAGATGAAATTGGAGAATAATTTTAAAATGAAATTCTGACATCCAAAACTGATCATGCTCCTCCATAAAATATAACAAATACATCTCATAATACTAGTCATAATGAAATGTAATTTCATTAAAAATTACCTATCTTATAAAGATAATTTGATTTACTTAGTCTCCTTGATTAAGGACTTTAAATATAAACTTTAGATGTTTCACAAAAATAAAATAGCTCTAGTGTTGCCATTCAAACTGAAAGTAAAAAAATATTTCTACCCAAATTAACACTTAATAAAAAAATACCTACTCAATATAGTACTAGTGTTGATCATAGAAAAAATTAATTTAAATTTGATTCTTTATCTAATTCTCCTAAAAATAGAGGAGGAACTGATTAATCCAATAAATCAAATAAACTTTAAAATTTAAAAAAACCTAATAGATCTGTCTAATGTAAAAACAGAAAAAACAAATAAATCCTACTCTCTAAAAAAGAATAGAATATATGGGCTATTAAAATTAATAAATTAAAACTAAGTCCTAATAAATATAATAAATTGTGGAATCATGAAGTAAACATTTCTTTAAAATTAAGGTTGTTAATGAAATCAAATAATTCATCTATCCTCCTATTTGGAAACCTCCATCCCATTTAACATGAATTATAATTTTATTACTTAACACTTTATTTATTTATTTATTTTTATTAGAATAATTCTATTGCCAAAATTAATAAACAAAATATATACATTATTAAAATCAGTCCCAACTTAAAAATAACTCTATTAAGCTCCATATTCCAATTACAAAAACACTCTTGAAAACATTCATAATATTTAATCAATTAACAAGCCTTAAATTATTTAAAATATTAACAAAATCAAAGATTAATAAATTAATATAAATATTTTTTTACAATTATTTTAATAACACTCTAAATGTGTCGCTGATAGAAACAATTTTAGGACTAATCATAAACCATTAAACTAAATAGCATAAAAATCTGGTCTACAATAAGCTTTTGTTTTTTAGAAATTAGAATTACCAGAACCTAACCATAATCTAAAGGTATAATTGAGGAGAGATACTTAAAAAGTAAATGAATTTAAAAATTTTCAAAATATTTATTCCAGATAATAAAACAATAATAATCATATTATTACTATTTATAGAATCAATAAAATTATTAGAAAATAATAGAGAGCTAAATCCAAAAATGATATACATATGTAAATAATGTTAGTAATTAAAATAATCTTATAACTGCTTTAAAGAAAATAAGATTATAGTTGTAAACCAACTACCTAAGTCTATGAATTAAAAATACCGTAATTTCTCCCTAATTCTCCTTAATAAGTTTGCGATAAATAAGAACAGTTATAAGAAAATAACATTCTGCTGCCTTAATAATTCTTTTACCTGTTGTGTAAAAAAAGTTAAGTAAAAATTCTATTTAAAGTTATTATTAATATTTTAATTATATTCATTAAGAATAGATAATTCATTAATTTGATTATTAATAAAGTGTAGATAAAAGAGAAAAATAAATAGAATTGTATTAATAAATATATTATATATATATCCAAACAAAGAAGGATCTTTTCAATTATTAGCATTATTGTAATAGAAATCTAATAAAGTTATGATTAAAATTTATATCAAGAGAAATTAAAAGAAAAGAATTAATATCAAAATTGAAAGAAAAATCTTTAAATAGAATTTAAACAAATTATAAATTTGATTTTACAGGCACAATGTTTGAAAAAATGAATAAAAAACAGATTTGAACAAAAAAATTAATAAAGATTTATTTATTATTTTGTTTATAAATAAATAATGTAATTATGTTAATTAGAAAAAACTCACAAAATTTCTAATAGCAAGTTTTTTTGTTATCATAAACAGACAAAGGATACTTATATATTAACTATACTACCCCCAAGCGAGTTTAATAGATTAGTTTATCATTTGAATCATCCAAACCTATTATTAGTGGAGGAATATTGGGAAGAGAGAGGATAAATTTGTTCTATGCAGAAATGCGAAACAATCAATGATTTGTAAGAAGTAATGAACAATATAAAATTAGATAATGTAAAATAATAAGTTCTCAGAAAATACAATATTGACAATACTATATTAAATCATATCAGCTATATTTTATTTGGAATCACAATAGGTACCAGTAACAATATCATTAAATAATGTATTTTTGGATGAATAATTATAAGTGAAAGTATAATTTATTATATTTTGTTAGATAGATGTTTTAAACATAATGAATGCATAACTTTCATTTGCATCTCCTGAAGTTTTAAGAAAAGAGGTTTAGTCGTCAGGTATATGGAGTGTAGGATGTATAGCATACTATTTAATGAAATGTGAATTGCCTTTTTAAGGAGTAAATGAGAAATCAATTGCATATAATATNTAGAAAATAATAGAGAGCTAAATCCAAAAATGATATACATATGTAAATAATGTTAGTAATTAAAATAATCTTATAACTGCTTTAAAGAAAATAAGATTATAGTTGTAAACCAACTACCTAAGTCTATGAATTAAAAATACCGTAATTTCTCCCTAATTCTCCTTAATAAGTTTGCGATAAATAAGAACAGTTATAAGAAAATAACATTCTGCTGCCTTAATAATTCTTTTACCTGTTGTGTAAAAAAAGTTAAGTAAAAATTCTATTTAAAGTTATTATTAATATTTTAATTATATTCATTAAGAATAGATAATTCATTAATTTGATTATTAATAAAGTGTAGATAAAAGAGAAAAATAAATAGAATTGTATTAATAAATATATTATATATATATCCAAACAAAGAAGGATCTTTTCAATTATTAGCATTATTGTAATAGAAATCTAATAAAGTTATGATTAAAATTTATATCAAGAGAAATTAAAAGAAAAGAATTAATATCAAAATTGAAAGAAAAATCTTTAAATAGAATTTAAACAAATTATAAATTTGATTTTACAGGCACAATGTTTGAAAAAATGAATAAAAAACAGATTTGAACAAAAAAATTAATAAAGATTTATTTATTATTTTGTTTATAAATAAATAATGTAATTATGTTAATTAGAAAAAACTCACAAAATTTCTAATAGCAAGTTTTTTTGTTATCATAAACAGACAAAGGATACTTATATATTAACTATACTACCCCCAAGCGAGTTTAATAGATTAGTTTATCATTTGAATCATCCAAACCTATTATTAGTGGAGGAATATTGGGAAGAGAGAGGATAAATTTGTTCTATGCAGAAATGCGAAACAATCAATGATTTGTAAGAAGTAATGAACAATATAAAATTAGATAATGTAAAATAATAAGTTCTCAGAAAATACAATATTGACAATACTATATTAAATCATATCAGCTATATTTTATTTGGAATCACAATAGGTACCAGTAACAATATCATTAAATAATGTATTTTTGGATGAATAATTATAAGTGAAAGTATAATTTATTATATTTTGTTAGATAGATGTTTTAAACATAATGAATGCATAACTTTCATTTGCATCTCCTGAAGTTTTAAGAAAAGAGGTTTAGTCGTCAGGTATATGGAGTGTAGGATGTATAGCATACTATTTAATGAAATGTGAATTGCCTTTTTAAGGAGTAAATGAGAAATCAATTGCATATAATATAATATATAGAGAACCACCTCCTAGTGATTTTTAAGAGTTCCCATTAGTTAGTGCATTACTTAAAGTGATTTTTATAAAGAATTAGTAGAGAAGAGCAACAACAAAATAAGTTTTATAATTTTTAGCTTCAAAATCGGCTTTTGCTTCTGAACCTATAAAATTATTGAGAACACCTTAATCATCAGAATAATTATGCAAAAATAAATCTAGTATGATGTTGAGTTAAATAGATAAAGTGGAGTATTCAGATAAATAAACTGATATTATAAAAATGGATGATAAAAGATCACCATTTGATAAAGTTTTAACATTATAAGAATTTGAAGAATAATTATCTCGTATGAAGGGAAAGAGTTAAAATACAATGATAGATGAATCAAATGAGATAATTAATAAAATAAAAAGAATGAGGCCTAATTCTGCTATAAGTTTGTCTGGAAAAGAGTTTGTTAGAAAGAATATTAAGTAAGAAATAAGTCAGAGAAGAGAGGTATAAAGTTCAAAGGCATTTGTGATGAAAAAGAATATTGGGAGCTTTATAAAACATCATAAAGAGGTTTCAATAGATTTAGATAATGCAAATAAGTTAAAGCATAGTGATACAATAAGAGTGTATAATTTAGAATATTAAGATAATATGATGCATCCAATTAAGAGTAATAAGGTATTTATGAAAATATTAAAACCAAAAATGGTTTGCGCCACAGAGTATCCTAAGGAATAAATATAGGGAATGTAAAAGTGGAGAAATAAAATAAAGTCAATGTTAATTTGATTTTGATTGTTTAAAATTTTGTTATTTGAACATTTGTCATTTATTGATATTATATTCAAAATACAAATTTAAATAATACGCCATTAAATAGATTAATATGCAACAATATAAATGTTTAGCATTACCTGGATGGTTAAATGATGCTGAGATAATGAAAAGCTTAATGACATAATTAGAAAAGGCTTTGATGTAAATAATAACATTTGAATACTTGAATCCTCCTTATGATTGTAGTAAGAGTATTTCATAATTACCTTCTAATATATCTGTTCCAGAAGGCACAGGAAGTAAGATATTAAATGTTTATTAAGAAACTCTGTATCGATGGGGAGATATTCATTTAGATCATTCATAAGATGTTAAGAATCTAAGAAATAAAATAATTGATGATCCAACAATAGTAGGTGTTGTTGGATTTTCACATGGAACATTATTAGTCACAGAATTAGGATAATTGGCACATACTGATTTAGAACTAAGAAAGAAACTTAAATTTTTTATGGCTTTCTCTTGTCATGGAATAAAAGCTTAGAAAAACATTTTTTCTTAAAAAAAGTTAATCACTATTCCAACTATTTAAACAATTGGATCTAGAGATCCTTTACAATTAGAATCAATTATATAATCAAGTGAATTTCTAAATCCAATAATTATTTACACAGATGCAAGTAAATAGATATTCTAATTATAGCACATAGAGTTCCTATATTTTCATTTGAATAACTTAAGAAAATCTAGAAATTTGTACAATTAGCCTTAGAATAACCGAAATTATGAATATTTATAAATCAAACAAAATTTTCTAAACTTTCAGGAATATCATTTAATCTTATTCCTTATTCTTTCAGAAGTCCACTCATTTCTATTTCAACTTTGTTAAGTAGATTATGTATTTCTTAATCACCTTACATATTCTTAAGACTAGCTATTTAATCCTCTTCTTCTACACCAAACTTTCCATAAATTAAATCTTGGACTATAATATTTATAATTGTTGGAACCAACATAACATATTCTGATTGCTTATATCTATAATCATATTATATATACAATTCGATGCAATATTACATGATATTCTTAAGGGAAGTTTTTAAGAATGTGTACATTAAATTGAATAATGTCTTTTGTTTATTTTAAATTCAATTTCTTAGTATATTCAATTTTCTCTTTTATTTTTTATTTAACACTTGCTTACAACATATATAATTATTAAAAATATCCTTAATCCATTCTTAATAATACACTCTCTTCAAATATTTCTTTGGGTACATCTAATTAATATAAAAGTCTTTTCAATGCTTAATCTAAAACATCTTCAATATCCATTATAAATTAAACAATACAATCAACATATATTTATTAATTTTATTTTCTCAATCTCCTTCTTTAAACTCGATTCTATTTACTTAACTTTACAAAATCTTCTCCTGCTATTTCTAACTATTTTGCATATATATCCACTATACAACTAGCCTCTAAACAATGATCTTCATTGTATCTAATTTCTATATCATTGTTCATTTCAAATTTCTAATCCATAGATCTATCANTTAAATTTTTTATGGCTTTCTCTTGTCATGGAATAAAAGCTTAGAAAAACATTTTTTCTTAAAAAAAGTTAATCACTATTCCAACTATTTAAACAATTGGATCTAGAGATCCTTTACAATTAGAATCAATTATATAATCAAGTGAATTTCTAAATCCAATAATTATTTACACAGATGCAAGTAAATAGATATTCTAATTATAGCACATAGAGTTCCTATATTTTCATTTGAATAACTTAAGAAAATCTAGAAATTTGTACAATTAGCCTTAGAATAACCGAAATTATGAATATTTATAAATCAAACAAAATTTTCTAAACTTTCAGGAATATCATTTAATCTTATTCCTTATTCTTTCAGAAGTCCACTCATTTCTATTTCAACTTTGTTAAGTAGATTATGTATTTCTTAATCACCTTACATATTCTTAAGACTAGCTATTTAATCCTCTTCTTCTACACCAAACTTTCCATAAATTAAATCTTGGACTATAATATTTATAATTGTTGGAACCAACATAACATATTCTGATTGCTTATATCTATAATCATATTATATATACAATTCGATGCAATATTACATGATATTCTTAAGGGAAGTTTTTAAGAATGTGTACATTAAATTGAATAATGTCTTTTGTTTATTTTAAATTCAATTTCTTAGTATATTCAATTTTCTCTTTTATTTTTTATTTAACACTTGCTTACAACATATATAATTATTAAAAATATCCTTAATCCATTCTTAATAATACACTCTCTTCAAATATTTCTTTGGGTACATCTAATTAATATAAAAGTCTTTTCAATGCTTAATCTAAAACATCTTCAATATCCATTATAAATTAAACAATACAATCAACATATATTTATTAATTTTATTTTCTCAATCTCCTTCTTTAAACTCGATTCTATTTACTTAACTTTACAAAATCTTCTCCTGCTATTTCTAACTATTTTGCATATATATCCACTATACAACTAGCCTCTAAACAATGATCTTCATTGTATCTAATTTCTATATCATTGTTCATTTCAAATTTCTAATCCATAGATCTATCATTCGTTTCTAAATATTAATCTAAATCATTCTTTAAAAATAATTTATCTAAACTATTTTACTATTACTAGTATTTTTTCATATAATAAGCACTTCAAAATATTTATTAAATCTTACCCAACCCCTACCATTCCAAGAGAAGCCAAAACAACTGCTTTATTTTTAGATATGGTTGAACCCATAATTAATTATTATTATTATATTATTCATGATTTAGTATAATAAGTTTTTCTTATTCATTAACATTCATGTTTTCTATTCATATAATCCTGCTTTATTTTATTATACAAATAGAATTAAAATAAACATTCCCATATCTTTAATATATAAAGAATGTATAATATATAATCATTTACTTTTCCCACTAGCATTAGGATTTGTTTAATTATAGCCATCAATATAACCTTGTTAATAGGCTCCTCCATTGCCTGTTACTTCACAAATTAAAGCATCAACTCCTTAAGCAATAGTTTCTTCTGTTGAAGGATCATAGTTTCCAGCTGCTGCATCATATCCTTAACCATAACAATATCCATTATCATTTGATTCCGACATTACTATTTAAAATTATCAATCATATATTTATTAAATACCCATTTGAATTAAAAAATATTCTATTTACTCTCAATTAATTGTATTTAATTAAATAATATATATTCTAATTTATATTAATAAAATAATTATAATATTAATAAAAATATAATGATGAATAAGTATAGATAAAAATTCTAAATAATTATAAAATTCAATGTTCTGTTCTTGCTCTAACATAGTAATCACCCTAAAAACGAACCTTCATTTTCTCCTTGTTTGCTAAAAAGATTAATATGAATAAGTACAATTTTTACTAAAACTACTCACTAATTTCTTTTACTATTCTTATTCTAATGATTCTTATTATTATATTAAATAAATATACTATTTAATTAATCCTTTTTTTGAAGCTCCGTTTGAACATTTTTAATCTTTGCATTAAATTCGTCATTGACTTATTGCTACTTGAATTGGTATTCTCGTAATAGGTCGGCACTCAATACCCTGAAAAAGCTAATCTAATTTTTTCTTTTTCTCATTCTCCAATTCATATAATTAATCTTAAAGTTTTAACTTATCTCTTTCACTTTATTTTTATTTATATATATTCCAATCTTAATTTAATTGTGTGTCTTTTCTCAATGTAATTTTATTTGAATATACTGCAGATTTGCATCCTTCATCTTTATTTATATATGCATTTGTTTCAAAGCTACGATTTCCATAAATTTTGTTTATAATATTCTATTATTATTTCGTGAGGTCTAATTATAATTACTGAATCTGGTTTCGGAGTGACTCAATATTATTTAGAGGCTTTTTATAAGTATTCATAATATTTTTAATATGTTTAATACATAAGTTCGGATATTTAATAACAGATGAAATAACTAATCCTATAAATTAATTCAAAATCAAAAGAATTAAATATTATTATTCATTAATTAACTCTAATTTACTTTTATCTAAAATTATAACTAATTAAAATGAGTGTAATCTAAAAAGAAGAACAATAAAATAAATAAAATTTGATTTAATTAATTTATTAAATATATCAATATAAATTATTATGAATCATAACATTATTATAGAAAATTTTTTAGTAAATCTCATGTGTAATACTTAACTAGATGCAATATTTATTTTATTTTTGTTAATCATATTCTAATCTTGTATTTTTATATGTAGATATCAGGTATCTTATTTAAACTTTGGAGTTATACTAATTTTTCAAAACTAAGAATTTCAAAGGAATAGTGAAAACCCGAACTTTTAAGAAACATGCATAAACTAAAAGTCAGCATTTCCAATAAATTTTTCTTTCTTTTGTCCTTATTAACTCAAATAGACATCTCAAAACTTAATATTCTCCTTTAATAAGGTTATAAGAAAAATAAAAATTATCTTAATAAATGTTCTTAAAATGCATAGATTTATCATTTACTAGAATAGCAATTCTAAATTTTGTAAAACAATTTCAGTTAAAATAATTATAACTTCAAATTAGCTATTAAATTTTGTTTTAATTATGTTACCTATAATTGATTATAAGAAGTAGCACTTTGTGGAAACCTTTATTGATTTTAAAAATTTTATTTGTATATTGAATGTTAAGATATTCCAATTTTGAATTAACTCCTACTTTGATTTTTCAATTTTATTTAAAAATATAATGTTTCGCTTTGATTGAAACAAAAAAAAATAATAGTTTTTAGTTGTTAGAAATAGTTTGTTAATGAAATTTTGAGTTATATTAATAATAACATTGACGAGTATATGAAAACAAATAAAAAAAATAATTTTTTTAATAAATCAAAATCATTAAAGATTAAATATAATTATTTCTTAATATTATATATTTTATATAATAAATCAACAATTTTTTATTTAATGGGTAACTTTACTAACTTCTTCTATCCATATCTACGCTATTTTTTCTGGTTGCATTGATGGTTGCAATTTAGCAAATAAAAAATTAGATTTAAAAAATTCAACCACCTTGATTAATGTACCTGGAGAAGATTCTTCAGAACAAGCAATTAATTCTATTTTTTATCGTTTCTCAGATGGTAATTATTAAAATTTTGCTAAAGCTTATGAAGGATAAGAAGCACCTCCATCAGTATAAAAGAATATTGAATGGCTATGAATAATATTGATATTTACGAATTAAATTAATTAAAATGAGGATTTGATTAGATTTTTTCATAAGCAAGCAAAAAGGCAGCATCAAAATTAGTTCCTCCTCCATTATAAACGATCATTGATTATTAAACTTAAGGATTAGGAATTTAATAATCAATTGCACATCTAGCATTACTATTAAAAATAATAATAGTAACCCTAGAACTAGGATTTTTTTAAATTTCATAAAGAAATGCAACTAAACCTTATTTAGCTGATTCAAAAGGTCTTCCTGACATTGAACCAGAATCATCTAACATAAGTATATAATGAGCAGTTTTTTAATTTCCTTAATTTTATCCTAATTAAACTTCCTACTTTGGAATATAAAATATATCTTTTCCAATTTCTTTTGAAAGTTTTTCACAAATCATTCTTCCTATTTTATCATTCCAAATTTTCATAAATTTTTCTTTACATAATTGTAAAGTAGCTTTATCAAGACAAGAAAACTACCAAGTATTATATACTGATTTAATATCTTTCCATTTTTTAATTTATTAAGTTTCTAATTCTTAGATTTAGAAATCATCTTATATTTCTTCACAAGTATATAATGATGGTTAACAACCAATCAAAACTCCACTCATTCCTAAATTATAATATAATATTACCTCTTAATTAATGTCCATTTTTACATTAATGTTTATGATTACTATCATCAACAGCTTCATCACATTTTCTTTTACAAATTGGACAATATTCTAAACAACCAATTTATTTAAGTTATAATGTATCTAAATCAGCTTATACTTTTAATTTTTCAAAATCTATTTAAATCTAATCTAAATTAGAAATAGCCTCTTTTATTTTCTTTTCAAATGCATTAATAAAATCTAATAATATTTATATTTCAGCATCTGACTTTTAAGTAGTAGTACATAAAGGTACATCAAAAACATGGAAATCTTAAGTTTAAAATGCATCTCTTTTATCTTATTATATTTATTCTAATAATTTTTATTCAACCTTTCCTTCAAGACAACTCAATACTATTTTATATAATAATCCAGGAGCTTCTTCAGGGTTACTCAAAGATATAAAGTAATCTTAAGCTTTTAGAGCATAAGTAACAAAACCATGTAAATTTTTAGTATTTGCATCGACTTTTTATATATGAGATTTTAAATCACCACGTAAATCATTTGTTAATTTTGTTTGAATTTCTTATTTTATTCCAGCCACCTTATCTTTAACATATTTTTCAACATAATGTGTTTAATTTCTAATATATTAAACTATCTAATCATCTGTTACATTCTTATCAGATTTTTCAAGAATATCTTTATCTAATTATTTAATTATATCAAAACTTGATTCTTAACTATATCCATTTATTATTTATGATGCTTTTATAGAGTATTAAACATATAATCTTTAAGTTGCTACATTTATAATATCTGTAGCTTAAGTTATTCCTCTAATTTTACTTTACTCTTTTTTATTTTATTAAATATCAGCTTTAAATTTAAGATATTATTCATCAGTCTAATCTTTCAATTCTTTAATGTTTTATTCAGTTGATTAATATTATCCAAAACATAAAAATCTCCAAATTGTGAAAATTGAATAATAAAATAAGCATCTCTCTCCTATATCATTCAACATAACTCCAAAATATGAAAATTATTTATTAAATTATTTAATTTACTATTCTATCTTTGACATTATTCTTTTTATTAAACTAAAACTATATTAATTAACTTTAACATTCTCATTTTATTGAATAACTGCATCTTTATTTATTTCTATCATTTCAACAAATATCAATTCATTAATTTAACAATACATTTTATTCCAACCTTCTTAATTATGTTCATTCATTAATTATTAAATAATTTTAACAACATTATTCTTAAATGGGTAATAAAGATGATAATTAAGTTTCTGATTCAAAANTTATTTTCTTTTCAAATGCATTAATAAAATCTAATAATATTTATATTTCAGCATCTGACTTTTAAGTAGTAGTACATAAAGGTACATCAAAAACATGGAAATCTTAAGTTTAAAATGCATCTCTTTTATCTTATTATATTTATTCTAATAATTTTTATTCAACCTTTCCTTCAAGACAACTCAATACTATTTTATATAATAATCCAGGAGCTTCTTCAGGGTTACTCAAAGATATAAAGTAATCTTAAGCTTTTAGAGCATAAGTAACAAAACCATGTAAATTTTTAGTATTTGCATCGACTTTTTATATATGAGATTTTAAATCACCACGTAAATCATTTGTTAATTTTGTTTGAATTTCTTATTTTATTCCAGCCACCTTATCTTTAACATATTTTTCAACATAATGTGTTTAATTTCTAATATATTAAACTATCTAATCATCTGTTACATTCTTATCAGATTTTTCAAGAATATCTTTATCTAATTATTTAATTATATCAAAACTTGATTCTTAACTATATCCATTTATTATTTATGATGCTTTTATAGAGTATTAAACATATAATCTTTAAGTTGCTACATTTATAATATCTGTAGCTTAAGTTATTCCTCTAATTTTACTTTACTCTTTTTTATTTTATTAAATATCAGCTTTAAATTTAAGATATTATTCATCAGTCTAATCTTTCAATTCTTTAATGTTTTATTCAGTTGATTAATATTATCCAAAACATAAAAATCTCCAAATTGTGAAAATTGAATAATAAAATAAGCATCTCTCTCCTATATCATTCAACATAACTCCAAAATATGAAAATTATTTATTAAATTATTTAATTTACTATTCTATCTTTGACATTATTCTTTTTATTAAACTAAAACTATATTAATTAACTTTAACATTCTCATTTTATTGAATAACTGCATCTTTATTTATTTCTATCATTTCAACAAATATCAATTCATTAATTTAACAATACATTTTATTCCAACCTTCTTAATTATGTTCATTCATTAATTATTAAATAATTTTAACAACATTATTCTTAAATGGGTAATAAAGATGATAATTAAGTTTCTGATTCAAAATATAATTAAAAACATCTCTTTGATTGTATAAAATCTTTTGATCTAAAATTATTTCTTCTTGTATTTCAACTAAAAAGATATCATCATTTTCATTGTATTTATTAATAAGATTATCCAAGTCATTATTATTATCAGATATTTAAATTATTACTTCTTAGCTTTTAGTATATTTTGCAAATCCTTTAAAATTTTTGTTGATTATATCAATTGATAAATCATATTAAACTTACTTATAATACTATTATCTTTGTACAGGTGAAAAACATTTAAGAAGCTGTTACTGTTTTCCCTCTCTTCCTTCCCAATTAATCCATTTTTTAAATAAATCATATAATTTATCAACGCTTTCTTAAACTATTTCAAACCCAAAAATTGTAAAATGCTCAAAAAAATTTTTTAGAGCATACTTATCTAATTTTTTATTTTAAGACTAGTAATAGTCTAAATCAGATAGCATATCATTTTACATGTATTTATGGAAATCTTACAAATTAATCCATCTAAATAATACTTTTAATTTATAAAATTTGTTTATTTATAAAATTGATTATTCTGAACATTTTTTTAATTTGTTATTAATACTTTAAACAAAAGTTTCATAATATTAATAATTTTTATTTGAATTTTCAATTACCATAAATTATTAAGTTTACAATTCTGGACTTAAAATTTAAAGAGATTTTAAATAATCTTCTTTTAATGGAGGTCTTTAAAGTAATTTTTAATTATGATATTCTTATTTATATTGAGTTTCATGCTTTGATTTTAAAATATAATTTGAAAACTCTTATTAAATTACTTAAAGTAATTTATCACAAAATTCTTTAAACATAGTTTCTTATTATTCAGTATGTTAGTCAACAATTGAACCCCAAAGTTTATCAAATTTATCTTTAATTCTTCTTTCATTTTCTTTATAGTATTTTAATTCATCTTCTTTTCCGATTAAATTCAAAATAAACTAATCCAATTAAATAAATCCTTTTTTTTTCTATAAAATAGTTTCTTAAGTCTTAATTTCTGCATATATTGCTAAATTACATGCTGATTTTTCACTATTAATCCTATCTTTTAACATATTCACATATTTTGTAAATACCTTTTTTGATATTTTTTTTTCATTTTTAATTGATGTTAATTTTTCATTAAATTCATTCTTAATTGAATCAAATTGAGCATTCATTTTTTTAATTTCAAATATTTAAATTTCATCTAATATTTCAAGAGTTAACTTTAAATTTTTCTCTGAGATTCGTTCTGTTATATTTTTGATGTATTCATTTTTATTATGAAATTTCTATTCATTAATTAATTAATCAAATTATTATCTCATAAATAAATTTTATTGATGTTAGATTAATTCAGAAAATTCAAGTAAATCAGGTAAATTTTATATACTATACCATGTTAATTCTATTTTTTCAATAAAAGATTTTAAATTTTCCATTTATTTATTTCTTTATTAATCATTTTCTTTTGCATTTCCAAATTTCTAAACATATGATCGAATTACTCTAATACCATATTCATAAGCTTCTTCAGAAAAAGTTCCATTTATTTTTAATTATCTCCAATCTGAATAAATTCCATTATTTTCATTTTTTCTCCATAATTCTTCAGTTGATGCAAATCCTAAAATTTTAATATTATCCTTTGTAATTCCAAGAATATCATTATAATCAATTGTTTCATTTTCTTCTTTTTAATTACTAAATTCTGTACTTAAACTTGTAGCTATTGATTACAATTATTATAAAAATGGTGCATGATTATTTACATCATTATTTTAATTAAAACACCATGTAATTTATTTTTCATTTGTAAAACTTTTCATTTATCCCAAAGTAAAAATACACATTTCAACTAATGATTTAAATTATTATGTTATATCACCTTTAACATTTACTAAAATAATATCACTAATTGATAACACAAAAAGAGCTATTTTTTTATCAAATTCTTAATCATCTTAACTTGGACTCTAAAGTCCTTCACTATCTAATATTACAATATAATCAAATAAATTATTAAAAAAAGCTTTATTATGTATTTTTAATAATTATAAATAAATTCCTTTAGTACATCTACCAACACTTGTCCAAAAATGACATCCAAAGATTTTATTTAAAATTGTTGATTTGCCTGAACTTTATGGCCCTAAAACACTTAATACCAATATTTTTTCTTATCCTTAATTACTAAAATTTGAAATTAGTTTCATTAAAAATTATTAATCAATTCTTAATTAATCACCATCCAAAAATTCATAAGGTTCTCCTTTAGATATCATTTCTTTCACAATTTTTGCAGGATCAATTTCAATTTAACAATTATTACATTTTTCAATTTATTATATTATTTCTCTCCAAAATAATTCTATTCCAATATTTATTTTAGATATTACCTCTTAATTTCGCTTTAATTTTAGAATTTTTTTCTCTATTTCTTTTTATATATTATCTCTTTATTTTCTTTATTCAATTGTTATTTCAGTATTTTCCTTTGGCTTTATAGCTTCCTTTTCTTTTTTTAATTTTTAAATCTTTTCACTCAATAATTAATTTTTATTTTAAAGATCATAAGTGTTTTTTTCATTAAATTTTCTTATATTATCAACAAATTGAAGATATAAAATATAATAATTATTTTGTTACAGCAATTCACAAAATTTTACTATAAGTTTTGAAAATTTTTAAGTCTTAATTTTAGCTTGTAAATTTGATATATTTTTATTAATTTCATTTAAAGCTACTTAATCTTTTTAATCATTATTTTATTATAATTTAATATATTTATCCTTTTCTTATTTTATTTACCAATCAATACTTCTTAATGGAAAAGCTGCTTCATTATAAAATCCTAATTCATGTTTCATTTATTGATTTAATTCTTCTTCAATTTCTTGAAATAATATTTTTGCTTATTTCATCTCTTAAGTTTAATGTAAATCTTAATGTTTCATTTAACAAATCAAATTAAAATATTATTCTTATTTTAATTATAATTATTCTATATACTACTCTATGATTCCAAAAAGAAATTTTGATACTTACTCAATTTCATCATCTTTCATTTATTTATTTAAATCATTATCTGATAAATCAATAACTTATTTCCATTAAATATTAAATTACTCTAACAATGTTATTTATTATTAATTGACTTCTTATTTTGAATTTCTAATTAAAAAGCAAACAACTTTATCTTTAATATTAAAAGCTTCTAATTTTTCTAATTTTTGAATATTTTTCTCAATTTCTTTTTCTGTATCCAATTATATTATCCACAATTTAAACATTGGTAAGATATCATCTAAAATTTCAAATGGAATAAAATTATGAGCATCTGCAATAGATAAATTTCTAGATCCACTAAATTCAAAATCATACATAATATCTACTGTTTATCTGTTTAATTGATTATTGTCAGAAATTTCAAATTTATATTACGAATAAAATATTTTATTAATTAATTCTGTTTTACCAATTCTTTTTTGATTTTCATCTAAACTTAAATTTATGATTGGGAAATTTTATTAAAAAACATAAAATGAATTGATGTTAAATGTTAATTTTTCAGTTTCTTCAGTTATTGGATTATAAGGAGTTCTATATAATAAAGGAATAGGATGTTGTCTACTCATAAGTTTTAGAAGCACAACTTTTAATTCTTCATTAGCATTATTATAAAATATCTAAAATATTGATTTTTAATTAAAATATCCATATTTTGTTTACAAATCTCTATTAGCCTTAATTTACTAATTAATTATAGATAAAAATGATGCAGAAGATTCTCCTCTTTTAATGATATTAAAAAAAAATGGTATTAATTGCTCAAAAGCATCTTAATCCTTAACATTTTTAATCCAATTTGCAACTAAATCTTACTATTCCTTTTTATTTAATAATGTCAAAGAAATATTAAATTTTTCTAATGAAACATTCAGAGATCTTGGATATATATCACTCTTTAATTATAATTCTAATTAATTAGGATGTAATTTTTCATTATCAAAATATCTAATTTTAGAGAAGGTTTATTTATAAAAATTAGCATCTTTTCTATAAAGTAACTCAGCATTATTTTTTAGATCTTATTTTTATTATAATTGCCAAGAATAAACTAATTTGTAAATATTTTATATAATTTCCTCATTTTTATTATCTTTTATAAGGTCAATTAAAAAATTTAAACAATAAATTTTTGGTAATTTTAATTTCTATTCTAAATCTACTTTCAAATCTTATTAATCTTTTTCATTTTTAATTTATTTAAAAATTTTAAATAAAATTTCTATTGTTTTTGAATATTTTTCATTTGAAATCTAATCAGATTTATTATCATAAATAAGATGATGTATTTAATCATCTTACAATAATGTAAATAATTATGTAAAACATTTTATTTGATTATTACAGGGTTGAATCAAATAATTTTCTTTATATAATCTTCTTAAAATTTAAAAGATTTGAATTGAATTTTCTGGTGTTTTATCTAAATATTTTGTAATAAGAGAATTAGCTATTGTATTTTAAATAGGATTTTATTAAATTAACTCCCAAAGATCATCATTAAAACCTTAAAGTACAATAATTTATTAATCTAATTCCATATTTTCATCATATTTTGAAATTTCTAATAAATTTTCCATTTCAACTTTAGTTTTACCTTCTTTAACTGCTTATTTAATAATTTAATAATTTTCAAATTTCTAATTTTAATATTCACAAACTATTCTTAATATAACTTCTATTTCTTCGAATGGATACTCATTCTTTAATTTTTATAATTCTAAAGCAATATTAATTATATTTTTCTCTTTTATTAATTATTTTAAAAGTGTTGCTACTTTTCGTTTATCTTCTTCAGGAATTTCAGATAGTAGATTTAATATTTTTCCATTTTAATTATTGATTTTCATAATATGAATTCCTTTATTTAATTGATGAAAATCTTCTTCAATAATTAAAGATAACAATTCTTCCATAGATTTATAAGATAATATTTTTAATTCACATTAAAACTAAGTTTATTCATCATTATATAACTTCATTTTATCAATTAATTTCTTATCAATTTACAAGGATTGCTTTTTTTATTAAATATATAAATTAAGTAATGAAAACTTTTCCATCTAGTTTTAATTATCCCCACTTTTTTTATATTAATAATTGAACTATTAAAAACAAAGATAACACATTTAATAGAAAACTACTTGAAAATCAAAACTTATTGGTAGTAATTTTTCAACCAAATAATCAATTTCTCCTATATTTATTTATGCTTATTCATCTATTTTTAATAAAGATCTAAATATTTAATTAATTGAATCTTTTATTGTCTATTAATCACTTTCTAATAATTTAGGAACTTATTTCAAAATATTCAATTAATCTGAGTTTTGATCTTGAATTTATAATTACTAAACGTGATACTCAAATTATAACCAACATTCAGATAAAATCTCTCCTAATAAAATATATAAATTAGTTTATTCTCTACTATTTATTTGAAGATCATCAGGTAAAAAGAAAAAAAATGTTAAATTTTTAAGAATAGTTGAATTCAATTGAAAATTGTAATTTTTACATGATTCTATTAAGTCTATAATCTTCCAACAATTTTATCTTAGTTTTTCAATAATGCTTTTGTATTACATTAAAGAAATAGGGAAGATATTATGATCAAAAAATTCTTTTTATTGTAACAATTCATTTAATTGTTTCCAGTTTTTATTTTCATCCATTCTTTTATTGTCTAATATCGAATATAATTTAAATTTAATCATATTTTTCTGAAACCCATAATCGTTTAATCTAATCATACTTGCACTTTTTCTCCAAAATGATTTAGTACTATTTAATTGCTATTACAATTAATTTAAAAAACTATTTCTTGGAAAAACAGTATTAAGATAATTTATTACCAATTACTTATCATCATTATTCAACCTTTTTAGAAAAGATTCCAATATTCTATCAAAATTCGAATCAAGATAAATAATGCCTTTCTATCTATCATCCACAATACTTAACAATTCCAAAGTTTTATTGTAATCTGTTAATGCAGTCATTTTCTTATGATCTATTAATAAACTATAAGAAATATTGATTTTCAATTTGTAATTAAGGTGTATTTGAATAGTTTCATTTTTCTATTACATCCTTAACAATAATCTATTACAACTCTTAATAGAAAATTATACATTTTTTAATTTGAAATATTTTATTTCTGACATATTTTTACAAAGATTATCAAGTTCAGTTTAGATTAGATTGCTTTAATTAAAATTTTAACTTTATTTCAGGAGATTTTATATTTCTAAATAAAATTTGTTTAAGTTTTTAGTTGGAATAGTTCAATTGATTATACAATGAATATGTAATAACACAAATTTTAGAGATATGTGAAAATAGTTACAAAATTAGATAGAATATATAGTGTCTAAATTTATAAATGAGCATTCATTTTTAAATTAGATATTAAAACATCCAACTGAATAGATGGATTAAATACTAATAAAATTTCTATTTAAAATTTATGTTATTTATATTATCAAGTTATTTATTCTATTGGTATATTTATTTTTTATCACATTTAATTTACATAGATGATAGAAAGTAAAATCAGANCTATAATCTTCCAACAATTTTATCTTAGTTTTTCAATAATGCTTTTGTATTACATTAAAGAAATAGGGAAGATATTATGATCAAAAAATTCTTTTTATTGTAACAATTCATTTAATTGTTTCCAGTTTTTATTTTCATCCATTCTTTTATTGTCTAATATCGAATATAATTTAAATTTAATCATATTTTTCTGAAACCCATAATCGTTTAATCTAATCATACTTGCACTTTTTCTCCAAAATGATTTAGTACTATTTAATTGCTATTACAATTAATTTAAAAAACTATTTCTTGGAAAAACAGTATTAAGATAATTTATTACCAATTACTTATCATCATTATTCAACCTTTTTAGAAAAGATTCCAATATTCTATCAAAATTCGAATCAAGATAAATAATGCCTTTCTATCTATCATCCACAATACTTAACAATTCCAAAGTTTTATTGTAATCTGTTAATGCAGTCATTTTCTTATGATCTATTAATAAACTATAAGAAATATTGATTTTCAATTTGTAATTAAGGTGTATTTGAATAGTTTCATTTTTCTATTACATCCTTAACAATAATCTATTACAACTCTTAATAGAAAATTATACATTTTTTAATTTGAAATATTTTATTTCTGACATATTTTTACAAAGATTATCAAGTTCAGTTTAGATTAGATTGCTTTAATTAAAATTTTAACTTTATTTCAGGAGATTTTATATTTCTAAATAAAATTTGTTTAAGTTTTTAGTTGGAATAGTTCAATTGATTATACAATGAATATGTAATAACACAAATTTTAGAGATATGTGAAAATAGTTACAAAATTAGATAGAATATATAGTGTCTAAATTTATAAATGAGCATTCATTTTTAAATTAGATATTAAAACATCCAACTGAATAGATGGATTAAATACTAATAAAATTTCTATTTAAAATTTATGTTATTTATATTATCAAGTTATTTATTCTATTGGTATATTTATTTTTTATCACATTTAATTTACATAGATGATAGAAAGTAAAATCAGAAATCATGCATATCCTAGTTCATTTTAAAGCGAGCGTTCATTTATAAAAGATTTTTCGAAAAGAATAAGACTACTTAGATTTAATTTAAATAGTAAACTAAAAATGATATATTATACAGCAAAAAGAATATAAATAAGTTTATGGCTTTATTAGTAAGATTTTCTAAGTAATTTATCAATCTTACTAAATTTCTTTAAAGTGATATTCTTAATAGAATTAGATGTAATTATTGCTCTAACATAATTTTGTTTTGTGTAAATATCATGTGTAAAAATTTAAATAAAAAATAAACTGCAATTAATTTTATACAAAAACTAATTCTATTACGAGAGATTTTTAAATTGATAAAAAATAGCAAATAAAATACATAGAAATATCAAAAAATGAAGAATAATCATGATTGGAAGGATATTTATTGTACCCATAATTTGCAGTTTATGTTCAAGAAAATGTTAAAATTTACATAATAAATCTGAAGATGAAGAATATCATTTTTGTGATTTAAAACATTATTGTTTAGAAAAATGTGATCATTAAGGCATTTGCAAAATAGAATATCAGGTTTAAGAAGTTACCTTGAAATCTTAATAATCTGAATTTATATACGCAATATATAAACAAAAAGATATAGGAAAATAGTAATGTAATTTAGAGATTCCTGCAGGTAAACTTAAACATGATGGAAACCATATTTGTAGAATTGAAACCGAAAAATACTTTCATATTTGTAATTAACAATGCCCAGAATGTAATGTATTTTGTGATTTGAGATATGGTCATGAAGGAGTACACTCTTCTCATTGGCATAGATATAAAGAAAATGAGGATAATCATGAAACATGCGACTAAAATTGTAAAAGAAGAGGAAAAGCTCATTTTCATTTAATTAAATGCAAAGGTGGCAATTCCTGTTTAGAAAAAGATAACAATTTTTAAAATAAGGCAATACACTCAAAAGAAAAAGATAATTTTGATGAAATATAGTGTTTACATTTTTGGTAACTTAATTAATGGGCCCATCCACTTTAAAATTTAATTGATTGAAATTAATAATATTAAAAAATCTAATTAATATTTCCATATTTTTATATAAAAATTATTATAAATTTTGCATTTAATTAATAAGCATTCATAATATAAAAAAAATAAATTTAACGAATTAATAAGAATTAATATTGCTTTTTTATAGACATCAAGTAGTCATAGTTTTATTATATTATGTAAAAATAAAAACCTAAAAAAAACAAAAATGGTGAAATATAGTATAGGCATGATCCTACTTATAATTCATTATAATAAAATTTAGATATTTAACATTTCATTTAATTAAGTACAAATATATGGTAGAGATAGCTTTAAACCTTTTTTGTATGGTTAAGAGGCTTCTTTTAGATAAAATTTGACACAAAGAATGATATCATAATTTTGATGATGACTTTCCTTAACATTTTCTTTTTAAACGAAAATAAAATTATATCCGTTAAAATTATAGAATTAATTAATAGAATAAAAGACTTTTAGGATTTAGACGCTATGGAACCTAAAACAAGTGATAAAGTTAACTCATTCGATTGATTTATATTTGATTAAGTTTGCAGGTATTTATTTCATTATGGGATTACATATTATAAGAAAAAAATCGAATCAATAACTAATAATATATGAAAAAATGATATAAATAATTAATAATATTAATTTTGAAAAATGTATTTTTTATTCTCACAAGAATGTTTTTATTTTACAATTATAAAGATTAATTTATTCAAAAATATAATAATCGAAGGCTAATAAAATCTTATTAAATTCATATAATTTTATTAATCCTTTTTTTTGAGTTAAAAAAATATATTATATTATAGGAATAATGTTAATAGGTATTTTGATTTACAAGAAATACTTTGTTTTAAACTGATATAATAATTATGGCTAATCAAAATTTTGAAAAGAGAATTATTTTTTATCAAAAAGATTCTTGCAATTAGTCATATTAAATCCAGTATAAGATGATAACTAAAAAAATTTCAAGATACATTTAATTATAATAAATTTTGTCAATCACAAGAGTATCTAAATATCTTATTTTTCAAAACAATAATTATTACTAATTTTGCAGATTTTTCATTTGTTCCTGATTATTTTTTTAAATTCATTTAAATTTAATACTACTTAACATAACATATTCATGTTACCATATAAATTGATATTTATGAAATTTTACAATCTAATTTATTTAAATATAAATAATCATTCTTTAAGAACAAATTGATACTGTAAACTTTTTAAGGTGATTAAAGATTTTCAAACATAAAATCAAAGATTTAATTAATTGTTCAAATAATATTCTTTGTCATATATTTTATACAAAAGCTAATACTTTCATTTAATTTATAAAAATAATCAAATATACAATTATTCTAATTATAATAATTTAATTTTATTAAATAATATAATTTTCTGTAAATAATTCTTTGTCATACATTTATATAAAGATTATAAATTCTTATTTTATAAATGGGTATTATAGATACAATTTTTTAGATATAAATTTAAAATGTATTCAGAAATACATTAATTAAATAAAATAACAATAAAAATAGCTGATTATAGACAGGAATCAATTTATTATATTTTTTATTTAAAATCTATTTAGAAATAGCTGATAGTTGATTAAAATTCTAAATTATTTATACATTGATGATAAAAAATAAGAGCAGATAATTATTTAAGATGATTAAATAAGAAAACATTATGAAATATCAAATAATAAGCATTTTTTAGATCTAAATTATTGGAGATAAGTTTTCAATTAAATAAAAGAAAATAGCGTCATTTAATAAATAAAATAATTAAAAAATAAAATGCAGTTAAAAATAAAATATACTCATAAATTTTGTATATTTTTTATTTATTTATATTAATACAGTAGAAATGAAAGTTATTAGATATATAATTTTAATTTAATTATGAAAACAATGAGGCTCTTTTTTAATCATAGCTTTAGACAATTAAAAATTATGTCTTAATTTGAAAATTTTTTAAATGAAGACCAAAAATTAAACATTTGACAATCTTTTTTAAAAATTTGATAATTTTCTTATGCTAAACATTTTTAGGTGGCTGAAGTAGATATTCTCATTATTATTATTTAGATATATGAAAATATAATGGAAAGGCTTCTTACAAAATTACATTTTTGTTTAATTTTGTAATTATTGTTTGATTACTTATTTATATTTAAGAATATATAAAAAATTAAGCAAAAAAAATAATTTTTAAATAGGAGGTAAAATTAATTTGCATAAATGAATTATTCTCTAGATTGAGAATTTAGGTAAAGGAGTTTATACATTGAATTCATATATTTTGATTAATTTGATAAATTTTATATATAGTAATAATTTAAGAAAATTCGAGAAAATTAAATTTAAAAAAAAATTTAAATCTCAACTATTTTTCTAAATTTAAGCCTTTAAAAGAATGATAAAATTTATGATTTTTAAGATAATATAAATAAATAGAAATGATAATGTAATATATTTGGTTATTTCTTTTGACAGAAGTAATAGGAATAAGAAAGTACTATGATGAATATAATTCTTTTTTTGAATAAGAAAATGATCCTTGTCCTGAAATGCATACTTTAAAGGTTGATTTTAGTCCAGATTATTGTGTGTGTATTGATAAATGTATTATGAGATAGCTTATAATGAAATTTGTATAGGAGCTTTAAAAGCTTCAATAAAAATTGATTAAAATGGTGACTCCTTTTTATGTCAACCAAGATTTTAAGTTTGGGATACAGGGAGTCCAACAAAAGATTATATTACAATGCATTGTGGGTTTAATGGTGGTGATTAATTAGTAATGGAATTGTTGACTAATGGACATTATTAATATTATTGTACAAGTAAGAATATTAGATTATTCCAATAGCTCTTTATGATGATGCAAATATTAGATGTTTGATTACTACATTAGTTTAAGGTTTTTATAGATGTCTATTTTGTAAACATCCATATTATGGAGAAAGTTGTTCATAAACTATTAAGGGTTATGATTAGAGATATTTTAATCCTCCAAAAAGTAATCATTTTATATTAGATTAAGAATGCATCAATAACAATTGTTTAGAATGTCAAGATGATATTTCTTGTAGTAAATGTATTCCTGGCAAAGGTTCAAAATCGAATAAACTATGTGATATAGGTATTATTATAATATTAGTATTTAGATTGTCGAGGGTTTTAAGATTGTTCAATGAATTCTAATGGTATCATTTAATACAATTCATAATGTATGATAGGATATTATTTATATTCTGGAACTACTTGTAAATGTATCTAAAATTATTATATAATTTAGAATGTAATGAAGGTTGTTTAAGTTGTTCTTATGATCCAATAATTAATTATCCTGGATGTAGTATTTGTGATTCCAATTATTTCAGAAAATTAGTTTATCAAAATGTCCCAAATATATATGGTTGTTTCAGAATTGAGAATTGTGATAAATCTAGATAATAGATTACTGGTTTCTCAATTTCATCAAATGGATTATATTCCTACAATATTTAATGTAATTTATGTGACTTCACATATTACTATGATACTGAATCTGGAGAATGTGAAAGTAATAATTTTCAAATATTTTTTTAGAAATTTCAAAATAAAATTAATTTTGTTAAATCTTAGGATTAAACCCAGAAAATTGTTTCGCTTGTCATCCCTTATATGAAAGACTTCCAGATGCTACATGTTAAATTAGAGTTTGCAATCCTTTTTGTCTAACATGTTTAGATAATAATCCAAATAAATGTATCACCTGCAGAGAAGATAGAAACTATAATAGTTATACATGTTAATGTAAAACAACTAATACTTGTGAATGTTTGGATGGTTTTTGTTATGAATGTGAATAACCTGATATATTCTATTGTACATCATGTAAACCTGGATCAAATAGAATACTTGTGGATAAATAATGTGTTTGTCCACCTGGATATTAAGTATCCACAAGTAATCCTTAAAATTGCATTTGTATGATTTACTGATTAATATTGAAGTGTGTGATCATTCTTGTAAATTTTGTTCTGGTCCATCAAATTCTGAATGTATAACATGTCCAAAGGAAAGTACTTCAAATAGAATTAAAGTTGATGGTTTATGCATTTGCAAACCTGGATATGCTGACTATGAAATTAAATAATCAAAATGTGGAAGTAACTTTAAAACATTAATATAAGAATGTCATTCAAAGTGTAAATCATGTTATTAGGCTGCTGATGATACACAAAATTAATATTGTTTAACTTGTATTCCTGGATAGAATCGTGTTCTTTCAGATGATTTCAATTGTGATTGTAAAAATAATTATGGAGATTTTAATGGCACTTTAGATGTGTGTCTAAGTACTTACATCAATTAAAAATAGAATGTCATTATACATGTGGTAGTTGTAATGATTTTGGTTCCAATAATTGTACATTATGTTTACCAAGCTCACATAGATACTTAACTCTTGAAGGAAAATGTTTATGTAAATCATCATATTTTGATGATCAAACTGATAGTATAGTATGTGCATGTATAATATATAATTTAATAAATAGAATGTCATTATTCATGCTTGTTATGTGCAAATAAAATTGAAAAAGATGCATGCTAATAATGTTCTCAAACTAGAATTCCTAGTAATCCATCGGCTGCTCAATTCGAATGTATTTGCTCTTCTCCAGATACATTTGATGATGGATTTTCACCAATATGTTAGAATTGTCATTACTCTTGTTTAACTTGTAATGGTCCACTTCCATCAAATTGCTTAACATGTAATACAAACTATAGATAACTCAATTTATTCAATTGCATGTGTCCTATAGGATTTTATGATGTTGGATCATTAGAATGTGCTTGTAATACATTTGACAAGATTAATAGAATGTCATTATTCTTGTTATTCATGTTATAATGATTCAATAGAAAGTTGTGTTACTTGTTCTCTTGATCTCCATTATAGAGTCTTAAAAGGTTTATAATGTTTTTGTGCAGATGGATATTATGAAGATTCTGGAATAGCCTTATGCAAAAGTATACATTTTAATCTAATAATTAGAATGCTCATATAAATGTGAAACCTGCTAAACATTAGAAGATAAGTGTTTAAGTTGTCCATCTAATTCTTTTAGAATATTTGATCCTGTTTAAGGATGTTATTGTCCAGAAGAATACTTTGATAAATATAATGAATCAACTTGTCTAAGTTATATCTATATTTATTATTAGAATGTCATTTCAAATGCTAAACTTGTAACGGTATTACTGAATAATCATGTTTAACTTGTGATCCTGTTTTTAATAGAATATTAAATGTTAATTAATGTGAATGTAAAAAACATTACTTTGATATGGAGGTTTCAGAATGCATAAGTTTATTTTTATAATTCTAAATTTTAGTTTGTAGCGAATTTTGTTATGAATGCAAAGACAACTCTTAGAAATGTACTTCATGCTATCAAAATAGATATTTAGATAACAGTACTTGCAAATGTTTAACTAAAATTTAAGGAATAACTATTAGTACATTTGAATATAATAATATGGTTGATTGCTAGAGTAATATATTTGTTATATGATCACCAGAATGCCATTATTCTTGTGCTATGTGCAAAGGTTTTGATTTAACAGATTGCATTTCTTGTATTGATAGCGAAGAAAGATTCTTAGATGCAAATACATGTCTTTGTAAAGAAGGGTATTATGATGCAGGAATGCCTGATTGCAAAAGTATTAATAAATTTAATAAAAATAGAATGCAGTTATAAATGTAAAGAATGTTATAAGTCATCTGAAACATGTACTTCTTGTAAAGATAATTCATTTAGATTATATAAATCAGGTTTAAATAAATGTTAATGCATTGATAGCTATTTTGATGACGGAGAAAATGAGGTTTGTTAAAGTATTTGATTATTATATAATTAGAATGCCATTATTCATGTCTCAGATGTAATGACATTGAAACAAGATGTGAGATTTGTTCTATTGAATCAAATAGAACTTTTAATGATCAAATTTTTACTTGTGATTGTAATGAAGGATATTATGATGATGGAGTTTAAATTTGTTAGAAATGCCATTATTCATGTTTAAATTGTACTTTTGGAGATTCTAATACATGTATTTCATGTTTAGATTCAAACATATCACATAGAGTATATTATAATAATACATGTAAATGTTTCTTTGGATATTTTGATGATGCTTAATCAGTTATATGTTAAAAATGCGATATCAATTGTTTAAGTTGTATTGATTAAGCATATAAATGCTTATCATGTCCTTAGACTAGAAAAATATAAACAAATTGTAAATGTGAATAAGGTTATTATGATGTGGGATTATAATTTTGTTCAAAATGTAATTCTAATTGTATGACATGTGAAATCAAATCAAATAACTGTACTTCTTGTGATCTTAATTTGTTAAGAGAACTTAATATTATTACTCAAACTTGTGATTGTTTACTTGGTTATATTGAAATAAATGGAATTTGCTAATAATGTCATTAAAATTGTAAAACATGTTCATAATCAATTAATAATTGTATTTCTTGTGTGAAATTTCGATATTTAATAGACAATTAATGTTTCTGTAATGATGGAATGTATGAATCTAATTTAGATAAATAATGTAAGTTATGTGATAAAACTTGTTTAACTTGTATTTCTACTAATACAAACTGTTTAACTTGTTCAATAGAAAATTTTAGAGAATTTAAATCTGGAAATAAATGTGAATGTATGTAAGGATTTTATGAAAATCCAATCAATAAAAATTGTGAAGAATGCGAAAAATCTTGTTTAATTTGTTCTTTAGTATATGACAATTGTTTATCATGTGATTCTAACCTCAATTTAAATTTAATAAATAATAAATGCTTATGTTCATCATCATATTATTTTGATTCTTTGACAAAGTCATGCAAATGTAATTAAAAATTATAATAATTTTCAATTAGAATGCAATATTAATTGTTTAGAGTGTGAAAATTCTACTGAATGTTTAACATGTATATTATCAACTAGACATTTTGATTATGTTTCAAAGTAATGTTTATGTAATACTGGATATTTTGAAATCAATTAACAAAATTGTAAATGTAATTCATTTGAATATCATTTATAGAATGTCATTATTCGTGTGAAACTTGTGAAAATAATAATACTAATTGTTTAAGTTGTTTAGACATACATCATAGAAAATTGATAAATAGTAAATGCCTTTGTTTTGATGGCTATTATGAAGTTGGAATTGAATAATGTTGGAAATGCTCTAATATTTGTAAAACATGTGAGTCTTCTGCATAGAATTGTAAGACTTGCTATGAAATAGAATAAAAAAGATATTATTCAGAATATAAATGTTTATGTAATCCTGGATATTTTGAATCAAACGAAGAAATCTGTACAAGTATTAAATAATTTATAAAATTAAATAGAATGTTCAAATGAATGTTTAACTTGTTAAGGATAAGCTGATTATTGTACAAGTTGCGATATCCTTGCAAAAAGATTAGATTAATCCATAATTCATAAGTGTCCTTGTATAATTGGATTTTATTAGGATCAAAATTTAATTTGTTAAAGTAAATTCTCAATTTTTATATTTATAGAATGCCATATCAAATGTTAAACTTGTATCAATAAGTTTGACTAATGTTTAAGTTGTAAATTTGAACTTAATTCAAATCGAAAGTCTTTATCTAATTAATGTAATTGTAAAGATGGTTATTTTGATGATGGAACTCAATTATAATGTTAAAAATGTAGTCTAAAATGCAAGACTTGTAAAAATTAAGCAAATTATTGTATAATTTGTTAGAATACTGTAAGAATTCATCCTCCTTAATGTGATTGTTTGGATGGATATTTTGAAGATTAATAATTGACTTGTTAAAGTATTCAATATTAATACATAAGTTTGTGATCCTTAATGCAATACTTGTGTATCATCACCATCAAACTGTTTGAGTTGTAAGCCTGGAAGATCAGGAAATGATTGTAAATGTATTGATGGATATTTAGAAATAGGATAAATTTTATGCGAAAGTATTAAAATTATTAAATTTAAATAGAATGTGGCTTCTAATGTGCTACTTGTGATTAAAGTAGATTTAATTGTAAAGTTTGTAAAGGCAATAGAATTTAAGAGCCTAAATGTATTTGTCAATCTGGATACTTTGATGATTAAATAAATGAAGATTGTTAATAATGTGATAGCACTTGTATAGAGTGTAATATAAATGGATGTTTATCTTGTTCTGCCAATAGAATATTAAATGAGAAAATGGTTTGTATTCCACCACCTAATTCAATATGGCATGATAATACTCCTTGGTGTTCAAGTAATTTATTTATAATATTATATTAGCATGTCAAGTGGCAGTCGTTAAAGTTTAGCTATCAGATGATATCAGTAAGATTATCATTCATTTTGATTTCCCTTTAAATTCAAAAGGATTTAATTCATAAATCGAAATTAATAAATGTATGTAAATATTTGAATCAGAATCTGTATTAATTTTCGGTTAAACTCCTGTTTGCTATCTAAATCCAGATAATAATTAGGAATTATTAATCTAATTAGGGGATAACTCGAAAATTAATATTGGTGATGATATTTAATTTAAAAGTAATTCTTTATCTCATGTTAATTGTGAATCGGCTTTGTAAAAGTTTATTTTTACAACATTATAAATGCCAATAAATCCTATTCCTCCATTAATCGAATATAACGTACCTTTAGATAAAATAAATCCTTATGCAGAAACATTAGTATATGTAAAATCAATGATTAATACTGGAAATAAAAAATTAAATAATATATTTTGGAGTTGTTAAGTAAATGCATCTGAAAAAAATGATAAACTTTAGGAATTCTTAGATTAAAATAACTTTAATTAAGAATATAATTTACTGATACCAGAGTTTACTTTAATTCCTAACGCAGTCCTAAAATTTAAAATTTAATATTCAAACTTTATTCATCTTAATTCCTTTTCAGAATTCACAATACTAACCCATTCTGGAGAATAACCATAAATTTATATTAATTATAAACAATCTTATTTTGTTTTTGAGAAAATTTCGATTAGTATTTCTGTAGGAACTTTATTTAAATCAAATATCATAGATAATTCGAAATACTCAATAAATCTTTTTGAAATTAACAGACACCCAAAAAAATCTTTATCTTCATAATTAAATATATCAACCGAATCAAACTCTTTTGAGTTTATCTATGCAAATATTTCAAAATATACTTTGAGTCCAAATTCAACATATACTTTTCAAATAAAAGCATAAAATTAAATGACAAATATATTTGAGATTAAGAATTTCACTATATAAATTCCTTTTGCTGGATTATATTGCAAGTTTAATCACATGGGAATCTAGTATATAAGGAAAAATTTAAGTCTTTAAGTTGAATGTGTAGATTTTGATAGAACATATGATTGGAATAGTGATCCAGATTTGAATATCGAAATATCTTGTAAGGATATTACACTAAGTGGAACCTGTATAAATTTAAAGAAAGAAAACATACATATAAACACAACTGAAATCAATTAATTTATTGATAAAAATTCAATTGCGCCTTTCACCGTTTAAGAATGGACAGTAGAAGCAAAAAAATTTTAACAGGAAGCTAAATTTAATTTAATTATTGTTTATTTAGAAGATGATTTATCTTTTTTAGAATTAGATTATAATAAAGGTTATTTAATGAGAAAGATTAATAATTATGAACTGTTAAATTTTACATATCTTATCCCATTTACATAAAAACCATATTTAGTAGATCAATAAATTGCTATTATTTATGAATATGAAATAATCGAGATACTTTAACCAAAATATATTTCACATTCATTTAAATTATTTAATATTTTGAAGGAGTTAAGGTATGGGGATAAAATAAATCTTAAATTAACAGCATAATATTCTAATAATATAATGCCTAGCATGAATAATATTAAATTAACATTAAATCGGCCTCCTGTCTGTTAGAAAATATTAATTAATAATTAGAGTGATTTAGCACTTACAAATATCATAGTTTTAATTTCATGTATGAATTCTGCTGATTCACCATACAAATATTAACTCAAGATATTTTTAAGAGAAGTTGATTTATAATCATTTTTAGAAGGTTAATTGGATAACTCCTTGACACTTAAACCTTATTAAAATAATAATTAATTCTAAATACAAGTTCCTACCTCAGTAGATTCTTCTAAAATTGGAATTCTTGTTTAAATTCTTGATAATGGAGGATCAATAACATAAATTTATGAAACTATTGCACCGAAACCTGCATAAATAGACTGTGCTTAAATTTAATTTTAGAATTTAAATCTATAAAATAAAATAGTAATGCTATTTGAATCTATGAATCTAAAATGTACTAATCTACATAAATAAATTTATAATGATTTACTTTACTTATAAATTTTACAAAATTAAATGGACAATATTTTAAAATTTTAAGCAATAAAACTTTATTAACAATTTTCAATATTTGAAGCATAATCTATATCTTAAAATCTAGGTGATTTAAATGAAAATAGATGTTTTGATCTTAATTCATCTAGTATTGTTGTTACATCACAAAAAACGTAAACAACTTATGACACACCTTAATTATTAAAGCAATTAAAAGAAAATTCAATTTTATTGAATTCAACTTTAAAGTATTTTCAGAAAATGAAAAATCAAAGTGAAGAGGAACTTCTTGAAAATTAATACATTTGGAATGAAGAAATCTATGAATAGCTCTAATATTCATTAACTGGCATGATAAATTTAGTATATTATTTTGATGAAATTTATTCAAGTTTATCAAAAATTAATTAAAAATAAATATAGATTTATTAGACGATAGATGAATTATTAAAAATCATCGAAAAAGTAGGAGAAGAGATACAAAATACAATTATTGTTAACAATAAAGCATTTATTCTTCAAGGTAATGAGATTATTTGGTAGATGAAAAGAACTAAAAAATAACTTTTTAACTATTAATTTCATGTAGAATCAACTAAAGAAGATTATTTGATAGATTTTATTTAATTGGAATCTATTCACCTAAAAAGTAATCCATTAAGATTTATGCCAGATTTAGATAATATCCTTCAAAAATAATTTAAAGTTCAAAAATTACAAATTTATCCGAAAAGTTTCTATAAAATTTAATTTAAAAATATTTATAAAGGAAGATATATTTTATTTGAAGATTTTTAATCTGTATACAGCACTTCATTTGAATCTTTTAGTATTTGCTAAAGTAACATATAAACAATTGAATAACACCAAATTCAATGCATCTAGAAAACTCTATCTGGATAATTTTATCTATGCGATTTGACTGGAATAACAAAAAATGCTGTTATAGAAATAAGATGTGAATGTTCTCGATTTGGAGAAATATTTTTAGTATCTTCTACAAATTTTACATTAACAAATGTAGATATTAGTAATGAAATAATATTAAATTATGATATGGCAACCTTATATGATTATTTTACTGATTTAATAGCAAGTACTGGTACATTAACGTTGATATTTTTCATAATCTATGTTTATTAATTAATTAAGAATTTCAAATATTAATTGTAAACAGAAGAAACTATTCCTACAAGAAGAAATTTAGATTTAATAGATCAGAATAAAATGATGTATAGAGGATTTAAAAATATATTCAAAATAAATGCAAAAGTAATTTTGTTATTTATTATTAGTTAATTCATCAAAGCATTTCATTATTTTATTATAAAGACAAAAACATTCATCTTAGTTACAGGATTTTGGAAATTTCTTCTTAATTTTAAATACTTTTGACTTTAGCTATAATTGAATGTTATAAGATTAAAATTATAAATACTTATATCATAGTATTTATAATTGCAAATCCTATCTTACTTATGATTTTGAGAATCTTTTATAAAATAATTGAAGCAATATATAGATTTAAAAGAATTGCCGCTTTTATAAGTTAGTTTATTCTAATCATATTTTTGATGCTTCCCAATCTTATCCTCTTAATATTATATTTATTTAAGTATTAAATTTATATTATTTAGAACATAAATATAATCTGAAAAATATTTAATTGCCATAATCCATTCAGGGAGTGTTATTATATCATAAGTTTTGGTTGAACCATTTATAATCGGTTGCAGAATAATACTTTATAGATTAATTGCAACAAGCTTGAAAAATATGGAACTAAATCCATTTTATCATTTAATCCATTTTTTTGTGATGCATTCCAGCTTAGAGGAAATATTTGATGAATTTTCAAGAATATGATTATAAATCATTATTTTTTATTAAAAATTTAATTATTAAATTTCTTAGTAATTTTTCCAAATTAAATCAAGGGCTTTATATGTCTAAAATTAAAATTTTAATTAGTTAACCCAATAACATTCAATAATTCAACAATTAAAGATTGTAAAATGTTTAAAATAAATACCCAAAAGTTTCATTTCATGGATTACATTTTTTAGAATCTTTTGATTAAAATAAAAACAATCCTATAGCCCCAATATTTACAATGAATTTTGTCTCTGCATTACCATATAAATTATAATATGAAAAAAGCTTTAGTATGTTTATTAGAAGAGCATAAATATTTAATTAAAAGATTTTTTCACAATTAAAAATATATGTAGAGTAATTCCTAAAAGTATGAGACTTCTTTAAATTTTAAATATTGAAAGAATAAGGAAACTTAATTAATTTGAAAGAATTGTTATTTAATTATTTAAAATTGTTAATGATAAAATAAATCACAATAATTTAATTTGAATTAACTCTATCAAACAATAAATTTTTTTTATATTTTTATTAAGGATGATTATACCCATAGTGACTAGTTTGGTAATTAAATAAATAATTAAAATCATGCAAAAATACTAACTAGCCCAACACAGAAATCTTTAAAATGCTCATAGATTTACTTTTTATGTACCTTGTGTAATTTTAAATAAGGATATTAAGAAAGTAATAATCAGGTGAAGTTTTCAACAATCAATATATACATCATTAAAAGTCAACTCAATTATTTTTGCAAATACTTATAAAAAATTAATATTTAAATAAAAGGGGGAATCAAATATAGAATGAAATCAAATATCTTTAAAATAATACAATTCTTGAAGCCAGGAATCTAAATTATAAATATTTTATCATATAATAAATGTTTTATATTTATTATTTTATCTAATGTAGTTATGAGTTGCAGTATTTTCAGATTAAACTTAATTGTGAAACAAATCGATTAATTAAACTTCTGTGAATTATGATTAAGATTATCAGATTCCTAAATTTAGTAATTATTAATTTGATTTATAAAATAATGTATAAATATTTCTATACTCGATTTGCAAAAAAAAGAAGATTTCGATGAAGATATAAAAAAGATTCCAAATCTGAATATCTCTACTCTTAATTAAAAATTTAAACTATCTCAATTTATAAAAAAATTCATTGATTTTGGAATCTTTCTGAAGAAACTATCTCGGAAATTAAATTCTAATGATTTTCTTAAAAAGAATATAATAAATACTCATAATTAAGAGAAGTTTGAAGGAGTCATATATTTTTGTGAAGATATCAATTTAATGAGACACAATGTTGTTTAATATTTTTTAAGTTGCAATTAAGCCGCACATTAGATGCTAATTATATACATAAGCAAACCTTTATTATTTTTCATCTGCATCTTAAAGTTACTATACTTCTTAAACAATTTAGGCTTTCAAATTTCTAATCATTTAATTCATAATCGAACCAGCCCACTAGCGGAATAGCAGTCTTTAAGGCAACTAATATCCCAAATCATAAATCTTGGTGAGGTATTAGATGTCTACTTAGCATTTGTTGTCAATCCCGAAATTATAATTCAAGAGGTATTTAAAAAATACCTACAAGCATCTGAGTTCCCTAATGGATGTCAAAATATAAACTACGAAAAATGTTATAATGCAATAATAGAAGAAAATAGAAATAGTTAAAATAGTTATAATTGAGATACCTTATCAAATTAATAAAGCTGAATTATAGTTAAAAGTTTAGAATTATTAACAAGAGATAAAATAATTGATGGAATCACTGGAATTAAGGATGAATAAAATAAATTTGGTATCAGAACTGCAATAGATAAAATGCATTATTCTGATTCAAAATATCATATTGAGTCGATTATATAAACGTACTTCTTTGGAAGCATACTTTGCATTTATATCTTAGCACTAAATCTTTTATTTATTTTAAAGAAAAAGTCGTTACTTGCAGAAGTTCATTCCTTTTCAATAAAGCATTCTCAAAAGCGCATTTAGAAGTAGGATTGTTCATGTCAATAGAAAATATTATTAGAATCATTGAAATTTTAAGTTGATCAAAAGCCCCATTAATTCAAATAAATTTTATTAAAAGAAAAGCGGAATTTTTCATCATGCGATGATAATTTTATTGATTTGCTAGATATTTCAAAAATTATGAGAAATAATGAACATTCAAATAAATTACTTTTAAAACATTAAGCATTGTAATGCAATCTTAGCCATGAGATAACAAAGATTAACAGGTCTTGAAAACAAAAAATAGTTGATGAATTAGGTTTTTTAATTAATGAGAAACAATATCATCTCCTAAATAAATTCTAAATCTAGATTTCTAGAAGAAGTTAACAAATAATTTGAGATCATAAAATAAGGTTTCTCTAATGAAAAAAGACTAAAATTAAAGAAAATATCAAAAGTAATTTATATGATCATGGTTTCTTCCTAAAGGAGATCAATACAAAGCGGATATCTAAAATGTTCTTCATTAATACAATATTAAGTTAAACAACTAAAAGGAAAATCAGGTATTAATGCTTACGATGATTTTTGTAACTACTACACATCATAATTTTTTTTAAATATAGGGAGTTTATATTTCAAGGTCTATAAAATATAAGCTTATTCTTTTCTAAGCATAAGTAAAGCAATACTAAACTTAATAAGACTTAAAAATGGGGAAAAATTATTAATATTATTTAGATTAAACTTTCTGTATTTGCTAAATCAATAAAGGATGAAAATGATAGAGTATTATAAAACTTGTATTGAGTTCAAATTAGAAAATGGACATGATTATAATATGTGATGATAAAAAGTATATATGTTATCTATTTAAATATGTAGAGCTAAATGTTTTTCAATAGTAAATCTACATGGTGGATANGAAAATAGAAATAGTTAAAATAGTTATAATTGAGATACCTTATCAAATTAATAAAGCTGAATTATAGTTAAAAGTTTAGAATTATTAACAAGAGATAAAATAATTGATGGAATCACTGGAATTAAGGATGAATAAAATAAATTTGGTATCAGAACTGCAATAGATAAAATGCATTATTCTGATTCAAAATATCATATTGAGTCGATTATATAAACGTACTTCTTTGGAAGCATACTTTGCATTTATATCTTAGCACTAAATCTTTTATTTATTTTAAAGAAAAAGTCGTTACTTGCAGAAGTTCATTCCTTTTCAATAAAGCATTCTCAAAAGCGCATTTAGAAGTAGGATTGTTCATGTCAATAGAAAATATTATTAGAATCATTGAAATTTTAAGTTGATCAAAAGCCCCATTAATTCAAATAAATTTTATTAAAAGAAAAGCGGAATTTTTCATCATGCGATGATAATTTTATTGATTTGCTAGATATTTCAAAAATTATGAGAAATAATGAACATTCAAATAAATTACTTTTAAAACATTAAGCATTGTAATGCAATCTTAGCCATGAGATAACAAAGATTAACAGGTCTTGAAAACAAAAAATAGTTGATGAATTAGGTTTTTTAATTAATGAGAAACAATATCATCTCCTAAATAAATTCTAAATCTAGATTTCTAGAAGAAGTTAACAAATAATTTGAGATCATAAAATAAGGTTTCTCTAATGAAAAAAGACTAAAATTAAAGAAAATATCAAAAGTAATTTATATGATCATGGTTTCTTCCTAAAGGAGATCAATACAAAGCGGATATCTAAAATGTTCTTCATTAATACAATATTAAGTTAAACAACTAAAAGGAAAATCAGGTATTAATGCTTACGATGATTTTTGTAACTACTACACATCATAATTTTTTTTAAATATAGGGAGTTTATATTTCAAGGTCTATAAAATATAAGCTTATTCTTTTCTAAGCATAAGTAAAGCAATACTAAACTTAATAAGACTTAAAAATGGGGAAAAATTATTAATATTATTTAGATTAAACTTTCTGTATTTGCTAAATCAATAAAGGATGAAAATGATAGAGTATTATAAAACTTGTATTGAGTTCAAATTAGAAAATGGACATGATTATAATATGTGATGATAAAAAGTATATATGTTATCTATTTAAATATGTAGAGCTAAATGTTTTTCAATAGTAAATCTACATGGTGGATATAGGTAAAAATCAAGTTTTGGCAGTAACATCAGTAAAATATAGTCATAGAATTATAGTAGATTTAGAAATGTGAAATTTTTTGAAAAGTTTATTTGCAATATCTTTAGGTAGAGTTGGATGCTTGCTTTTTCTTTCTTTCTTTTCTCTTACTCTTTTGAATCTGCAATTTTATCCTTTAAATCATTAATCTTTTAAATTTAATCATAATCTTATTTTTCTTCATTATCTTAATCATATTTTAAATTTTTATTCTCTTCTAAATATTCAAATTTTGATTTAGCACTCTAAAAATCTAAAATTTTATCAGTATTATACTCTCCTATATTTCATCAATTATATCTAACATCTAGCACTCTATCACATTGTTTTTTAACTAGTTAATAAATTTATTATTCTAAATTTTCATCTTCCATCTTTGCTTATACTATTATTTTTTTCTCTTTAATTTTTAAATCCTCAATTTTTCTCAATTTCTCCTCTAAAATTTACAATTTACAATAAATTCATAAATTATTTAAAATAAATTCACAACCTTTTTGTTTGACATTAGATATAATATTCTCTTTATAATCTTAATATTTACTTCAAAAAATTTTAAAATAGTCTTAAAGTCCAAAATTTGTTCAATTTCAATATATTAATAATCTTAACAACTACTGAAAATATTAAAATACAATTTTGTGCAAGTTATCTAAAATTATAGAGCTACTTTTTGTAAAATAAGCATTTTATATTTTGATTCTATACCTTTTTTCAACCTTTTAAATTTATTTTTCATGGCATAATATATAAAACACTTTATTAAAACTACATATAATTAGTTTAATTAAATAAATATAATTATTTAATACTATCTAAAATCCTAATAATATAAGAAAAAAATTTTCTACTTTATTATCTTATTTCTTTTTGTTATTATTATTATTGATTTTCACTACCTTAAGAATCTAAGAATGAGAAATTTAATATATTAGTTTTTATGTTGACTTTTCCTTTTTATACAATTTATAATAATAATAATAATAATAATAATAATTGGAATGATAATTATTCATTTGGAATTAGACAGTTTCCAAGTCTGTAGATGATCCTAGTGGAAAGATTATTTAGCCTAACTGGTATTACATTTATGGATATAAAATTGCTCCCAGGAGGAATGACTACTAAAACATAACCAACAAATAACATCATGGGAGACATTGGGTTCAAAGATAGGTGAATCCTAAATACATAAATCAAATTATTTCATGCCTTTTAGAAGAGTTTCAGTATTCAAATTAGGTAGAAACAATTCATCTTTAATTTAGATATAAGTTAAGATTGTTTACTTTACTTCATATGTAGTATGAAATAGAACATATTATTTAATACCTGAAAATACAAACCAAATATCTTCAATAAGCTTTATAACATAGTTATCAGCATTCTTATCATCAGAATTTTGAATTAATTAATCACTATGGGTTTAAACTAATAATATGAGAGATTCATTTGTTGTTCTGGTCCATATATTTTTTTCCTAATTTATAAATTTTAACCACTTATCAATATAGGATTATTAAACTTTTTAAATATAAGTTTGTGCTTAAGATCTCATGTTTATATCAAGTAGATATTATTGAAATAGCCAAACAATTTAAGTATGAATAATATAAACTTACACTGCTTATTTGTCTTTGAAAAACTACCATTATCTAGCATAATTTAAAGGAATATTATTAGTTATAACACAGAAAGGAGAGCTTAAAGAGTAATCTTATCCATTTATTTTTATTTTCTTAATAGAAAAACTAATTTTCTGTAAGGTATCAGCTATTTCTTAATCTAGTTTCTATAATTCTTAACCATTTAGATAGATAACACCTTTTGCTAACTCAGAATCTTTATCCGTTTATAAAAATTTTATAGCTTAATTCTTTTTAATTTCTGCTGGAAATTAGACTGTGATTAGAACTCTATCATTATATTATTAAGGAGTAGCTTGTTCATTATTCTAAAATAAATCCATATTACTTAGAACTTATTAAGCTAGTTCATCCACAGTCAATTAATTGGATTAAACATATTTATCATTATTAATTAATTAATCAACTGTTTCGGATTCTCGTATTTATTATTAAAGTTAAGAGTTTTCATTAGATTTGATCTTAACTTTAGATGAATTATTAGTATTTCCTTATCTAAATGAAATATTTTTTTATTAAAATTCAACAAAATTTAAACTAGATTGTTCATTGTTAGTTTTCTATAATTGATGTTATTATTAAGATTTTTAATTTAATTTAGAGGATTATTCTTACTCAACTTGCATTTGATTATTGATTTAAATAATTTTTCTTTCTTACCTTTCAGGTTATTTCTCTCTAAGTTGTTAAACATTTTTNCTCAATTTCTCCTCTAAAATTTACAATTTACAATAAATTCATAAATTATTTAAAATAAATTCACAACCTTTTTGTTTGACATTAGATATAATATTCTCTTTATAATCTTAATATTTACTTCAAAAAATTTTAAAATAGTCTTAAAGTCCAAAATTTGTTCAATTTCAATATATTAATAATCTTAACAACTACTGAAAATATTAAAATACAATTTTGTGCAAGTTATCTAAAATTATAGAGCTACTTTTTGTAAAATAAGCATTTTATATTTTGATTCTATACCTTTTTTCAACCTTTTAAATTTATTTTTCATGGCATAATATATAAAACACTTTATTAAAACTACATATAATTAGTTTAATTAAATAAATATAATTATTTAATACTATCTAAAATCCTAATAATATAAGAAAAAAATTTTCTACTTTATTATCTTATTTCTTTTTGTTATTATTATTATTGATTTTCACTACCTTAAGAATCTAAGAATGAGAAATTTAATATATTAGTTTTTATGTTGACTTTTCCTTTTTATACAATTTATAATAATAATAATAATAATAATAATAATTGGAATGATAATTATTCATTTGGAATTAGACAGTTTCCAAGTCTGTAGATGATCCTAGTGGAAAGATTATTTAGCCTAACTGGTATTACATTTATGGATATAAAATTGCTCCCAGGAGGAATGACTACTAAAACATAACCAACAAATAACATCATGGGAGACATTGGGTTCAAAGATAGGTGAATCCTAAATACATAAATCAAATTATTTCATGCCTTTTAGAAGAGTTTCAGTATTCAAATTAGGTAGAAACAATTCATCTTTAATTTAGATATAAGTTAAGATTGTTTACTTTACTTCATATGTAGTATGAAATAGAACATATTATTTAATACCTGAAAATACAAACCAAATATCTTCAATAAGCTTTATAACATAGTTATCAGCATTCTTATCATCAGAATTTTGAATTAATTAATCACTATGGGTTTAAACTAATAATATGAGAGATTCATTTGTTGTTCTGGTCCATATATTTTTTTCCTAATTTATAAATTTTAACCACTTATCAATATAGGATTATTAAACTTTTTAAATATAAGTTTGTGCTTAAGATCTCATGTTTATATCAAGTAGATATTATTGAAATAGCCAAACAATTTAAGTATGAATAATATAAACTTACACTGCTTATTTGTCTTTGAAAAACTACCATTATCTAGCATAATTTAAAGGAATATTATTAGTTATAACACAGAAAGGAGAGCTTAAAGAGTAATCTTATCCATTTATTTTTATTTTCTTAATAGAAAAACTAATTTTCTGTAAGGTATCAGCTATTTCTTAATCTAGTTTCTATAATTCTTAACCATTTAGATAGATAACACCTTTTGCTAACTCAGAATCTTTATCCGTTTATAAAAATTTTATAGCTTAATTCTTTTTAATTTCTGCTGGAAATTAGACTGTGATTAGAACTCTATCATTATATTATTAAGGAGTAGCTTGTTCATTATTCTAAAATAAATCCATATTACTTAGAACTTATTAAGCTAGTTCATCCACAGTCAATTAATTGGATTAAACATATTTATCATTATTAATTAATTAATCAACTGTTTCGGATTCTCGTATTTATTATTAAAGTTAAGAGTTTTCATTAGATTTGATCTTAACTTTAGATGAATTATTAGTATTTCCTTATCTAAATGAAATATTTTTTTATTAAAATTCAACAAAATTTAAACTAGATTGTTCATTGTTAGTTTTCTATAATTGATGTTATTATTAAGATTTTTAATTTAATTTAGAGGATTATTCTTACTCAACTTGCATTTGATTATTGATTTAAATAATTTTTCTTTCTTACCTTTCAGGTTATTTCTCTCTAAGTTGTTAAACATTTTTAATATACTTATTCCAATCTTATGTAATTACATTTAATTCATTCTTATTTCTATTATCTACATACCAGTTCATTAAATCATATTCATCCTTATTCCTAAAGATAATTCTATGAGGTATTAAATTTTCATCAATTAAAAATTAAAGATTTCCATCTTGATCTTCATTACCTATTATAGGATTAACAGCAGGGAAGTCATTGGCATCATGAATCATAAATCTCTATTTTAATATTAAAGATAATTTTTCCCAGGTACTTTTTTATTAATTTTTAATTAAATTGTTAAATTCTTATAAATTCTGATTAGGTGTGATTTTTAAATTTTCAGATTTAAATTTTTCAAAAATATCAAACCAATTTTCTTCTTTAGTGACATGGACTATTGGTTGGAAAATAATTGGTTTTCCTAGAATTTCATACTGTTAGTATTTTATGGAGTCTTAGATAGTGAATCCATTTTCCTAAGCAAATTCCTCCACTAATCTAATAGTAGCTTAGTTTTAATATTTGTTAGGAAATCTTAAACATTATAATAGTTTCTTCTCTATTATAACTCTCTAATCAGGCTTAGATTTTTTCTATTCATCTCTACTAAGGAAAAAATTTTTTAAAAATTTATTATCCATTAGACCTTTATCAAGAATTCGGCTAGTTAGAGCACCGATTTTTATACAATTTATTTTTGAATTTTTTTCTTATATAATTTAATGTATTATTTAATCAATTCTTTGAATTAGATAACAATTAATTGTAGGAGAAGCATTTTTTTCAATTATATAAAAGTTATCTATTGATCTTAGAATTTATAATTTAGCTAATGAAAATAATAAAATCTACTTATTAAAAATCATAACAATTTCATCATGTATAGAAATAACTATTCACAAAAAAAAATCTTAGATAATTGTTTTTCTTATAAATAGAAAGGAAGTTATAGAATAAAATTTCAAATATTATTAAAAATTATCGTATAGAATTCCCTTTTTACTACTATGATAAATGAAAATGATCAAGATATCTATTCAGGCAAAAAATATTATATTCTTTAAAAAGGATTCAGAAATCTTAAGGCTTTTTCTTAGAACAGTATAATATTTTAAAGAAAAAGGGAGTTAGATTTCAGGCAAGGAACTTAAAGATTCAGAAATCTAAATATAAATGAGTAACTCCTCTGAAATGAGAGTTAATTATTGAATTTTTTTTTATTAATTGAAAATAAATTTACATAAAATATTTGTTCAATCAATATTATTCCTCCAATTGTATTAAATATCAATTAATATTAAGCTTTAGTTGTTATCTATCATATTGCAATTGTTGATGTTTGAACAAGTTTTAGTGTTTAAATTCCATTAATATACACTATAAGTAAATTTGAGTTAATTCCTCCACAAAGAATGGATTGGCTTACAAATTGTTATTGAGTATTTTCCTTATAAAGTAAAAGTGGTACTAGCTGAGTCAATGCTTTGACAATCTGAGTTATTTAACATTTTTATATATTATCTCTGTTGTTATTCTTTACTTATTAAATTGTTTAATTAAATATTGCTTTAAAATTTAAGATATTTATTTTAGCAATACTATTAAGATAAGAGACTAGCATTTGAGTATATTTAAGATTGAAGAATTAAATCCATCTAAAGAAAAACATTCATCTTCATTTAGCCGAAAATATATTTTATAAAATAAAAGTATGGAATTCATAGTCAATTCAATTTTATTTAACAATATTATGATAAATTAAATATTTCAAATTCATTTGGCCTTTATTATTATTTTTAGGATTACTTAATGATTTAATGTTTGATATATCTGTTCTATAGAATACTGTAATTCATGGGTGGCTTTTATATGAAGCCATCTAAATGCAAATATCAAATTGAGAGCATTGGTTGAAAAGATCAAAATATAAAATTTTATTAAGCTCAACAAAATAAAGCTATATAAATAAGAAGTTGATGATTCTTCACTAAAATTCTAAATATTGTAAAAAATATTAGGGAAAATGCTCCAAACTATATATAGATTCTCCATCACCTGAAAACAGTATCAAGAATTCTACTATTTCAAAAAACAAAAAATTATTATTTAACTTGACTAGTTATGAAAATATTCAAGGAAAACTCAATTTTATATACAATTGATTGATCACTTCAAAGCAAAACACAATCTACACTTAACTTATGGTGTCTAAAAATTAATTTTGATAAAAAAGTTCTATTGTAACAGTAGAGAGATTATAAATAATATTCTTATTACAAATCTAATTATCCATTATTCTACTAGATAAATATTATGAATGCTAATTAAGTGTTCATATTTTAGCCATCTTAAACATATTATTTTAATAATGATTAAATCTCAGTTTCTTTGATCCTTTTAATTTAAAATAATAAATACATTTAATATCTAAAATTTAATTTAAAAATATGAATTGATTTTTTAAAATTATGAATGTAATTTTAAAATTTTCATTTCTTTTTTCAAAACTCAATCTATCGTCTTTACTTTATCTTGTTTGACACACTAATTTTCTTTTTTTCATAAGAATTTATAAATTACNTAAATTTGAGTTAATTCCTCCACAAAGAATGGATTGGCTTACAAATTGTTATTGAGTATTTTCCTTATAAAGTAAAAGTGGTACTAGCTGAGTCAATGCTTTGACAATCTGAGTTATTTAACATTTTTATATATTATCTCTGTTGTTATTCTTTACTTATTAAATTGTTTAATTAAATATTGCTTTAAAATTTAAGATATTTATTTTAGCAATACTATTAAGATAAGAGACTAGCATTTGAGTATATTTAAGATTGAAGAATTAAATCCATCTAAAGAAAAACATTCATCTTCATTTAGCCGAAAATATATTTTATAAAATAAAAGTATGGAATTCATAGTCAATTCAATTTTATTTAACAATATTATGATAAATTAAATATTTCAAATTCATTTGGCCTTTATTATTATTTTTAGGATTACTTAATGATTTAATGTTTGATATATCTGTTCTATAGAATACTGTAATTCATGGGTGGCTTTTATATGAAGCCATCTAAATGCAAATATCAAATTGAGAGCATTGGTTGAAAAGATCAAAATATAAAATTTTATTAAGCTCAACAAAATAAAGCTATATAAATAAGAAGTTGATGATTCTTCACTAAAATTCTAAATATTGTAAAAAATATTAGGGAAAATGCTCCAAACTATATATAGATTCTCCATCACCTGAAAACAGTATCAAGAATTCTACTATTTCAAAAAACAAAAAATTATTATTTAACTTGACTAGTTATGAAAATATTCAAGGAAAACTCAATTTTATATACAATTGATTGATCACTTCAAAGCAAAACACAATCTACACTTAACTTATGGTGTCTAAAAATTAATTTTGATAAAAAAGTTCTATTGTAACAGTAGAGAGATTATAAATAATATTCTTATTACAAATCTAATTATCCATTATTCTACTAGATAAATATTATGAATGCTAATTAAGTGTTCATATTTTAGCCATCTTAAACATATTATTTTAATAATGATTAAATCTCAGTTTCTTTGATCCTTTTAATTTAAAATAATAAATACATTTAATATCTAAAATTTAATTTAAAAATATGAATTGATTTTTTAAAATTATGAATGTAATTTTAAAATTTTCATTTCTTTTTTCAAAACTCAATCTATCGTCTTTACTTTATCTTGTTTGACACACTAATTTTCTTTTTTTCATAAGAATTTATAAATTACTTATTTCCTTTCTTAAAATATTTATGTCTAATATCTCCCTTCTCCCTTCTTCATTTTATAAAATTAATATAAACTCAATTAATTCTCTTACAAATGAAGCACAATTATTATACTTTAAGTTGTTTAGGCAATCCATAAAAACTTAAAGCAATATTACTTTTTCGGCCAATTTATTAGCATTTTTCTTAACGAATGGGATACTCTCTCTTTATTAGAATAATCTAAAAAAACATTTTTTTTCTTCTAAAATGTTGTAAGTTTTAATTAAAAAAGGAAGGAATTGATGCCTTTTATTTAATAGAATATCTTTATTCTATTCATAAAAAATAATAAAATATGTTTAGTAGAAATATCTATCAATAAAGTAATTGTTAGAATTGCTAAGAATCACTATGATTACAACCATTAGAAAACAGTAATAACTTTCCCATTCTCTTTATATCTCTAATTTTTATTTCATGTGATCTTACAAGAGGAGTAAGTATATAAATGTAATAAATTCATTAAAACATTTTTATTATTCTCCTATTAATATTTATTCCATATAATTTAAATAAATAGTTAAAAATATCCATATACTTTCTCATAATATTTATGTTTATCTTCATCAATATAATTTTCACATGTTTCTATTTTCATAATTCTCTTATCAAATGCAGAATATCTGGATTTCAAACCTATCATATCCTATTGTAAACTCACTGATACCCATTATCAATCCTTGATCTATCATATCCTTATTCTACTCAGATATCTTTGATGTATATTGACTCACTTGATTCATCTTTTCCTTTAGTAAGGTATCTGTCTATTCAGATTTTTGATTTTTTTACTAAGCATTTTCAAATTTATCCAAAAATAAAAATATTATCCTCCCATAAAAATCATAGTTTCCAATTTTTATGTGTCCAAATGTTCTAGACAAACAATTTTTTGAATGTTTAGAGATCAGTTAAGAATTACGATTACCTATTGCTTTTTTAATTTCTACAGTATATAAATTATATTATTTATTACTATTTACTCAAAATAAACTATTCAATTAATAATTCTTTAAATTTTTTTGCTTAGGTGAATTTGGAATAATTAATTCTAATCTATAATCAAATGAGAAATAATATAATATTTATAATTAAAATTGAATCTAACTTTTACTATTAGATTATAAAATAAGATTTTTTAAATATTTAAAATAAAATAAAAATTAATAATCAAAAGCCTAAAATAATTTTAAGGATTATTAAAGAGTAAAAGATAAAAATAAAATTGTTAATAATAAAATAATTACATGAATATTAATTATTACATCTAATGAGATTAAATTGTATCATCTGAAAATTTAAATTAAATAGTTGTAAAGTTGGTTAAAGCAGTGAATAGATTTTATAAATGTAATTCAATTTAAATTATGAAAGAATTTCACATATTCAATACAAACTCAAAAATAGATATTTAGCTAAAGAAATAATTAACAAAAAAGCAAATTAAATCTATATTCTTATATCTAATTTATAGCTTGATATCTGCCTAGGAGCATTAATTAGTCATAAAGTAAATTATTTTGATTTTTAGTTTATATTTTTATCATTATTCTAAATTTTTTAAGTATATCAAAAATTAATAACCCAATACCAAAGATAAGATTTCATAAAAAATTAAATATAAATGGCTAAAAATATAAATTACTGATTCACTTTCTTCAAAATCCTTAGAACTAATTGGATAAATTATAAATTAATTCTATTAGATTGATTGTCGATTCTATTTAATATCTCAAATAATATATGTTCTTTTTAACATAAATTCATCTTGGTTTTTTTAAGAATATTACTTGGAGTAAAAACTAATTTGAGTTTCCTTAATTTATACAATTAATTGTAAATAAAACTGTGTTTCAATAACTTTTGAAGGATTAGGATGGATCAGATTTTTTAAAATATGTAGGAATTTATCAATTGGACATGCTGGTGACTAAATAGAATCTATGTGTAATTTTGACTCTTATATTATTGTGTTTTATAGATAACCAGAATTTTTATTACTCTTGTAGGTGAAATGGAGTAGGATGATATTGATTATTTAAAACAGAACAAATTTAATAAAGAATTAATATATTCTATGCAAAAATTAATAGAAATATAATTCTATTGCAAAAAGATGGAACTGTATATTATTATTTATCTTATAATATTGGCCAAAAATCTAAAATTTATGCAAGGCATTAATTATCAATTATATAAAATGAAAATCAAAATGAAAATTAATAAATATTAGCAGAAAAATTTTATAATTATTTTAGTCATTAATAACTTATAAAATTTGCAATAATAAATGGTAATTTAGAATAATATCAATTTTCTAAAGGTTAAAATTTAAATACTCATTTCAAAAGTTCTGTTAGATAAGATTTTCTTTAATAAATGAAGAATAATGGAATGCATATTGATAAAGTTTAAAATAATATTTTAATTTAAATAAATAGATATGCAATAAAAGTAAAATACTATTTATTATAGAATATGATATAAAAGATGATCATCGCACTCTGTTAGATTAAGAAAATATTATTATATTTATATAGAAATTCTTATATGAATAAAACAGCTCGAAAATGGCTGATAATAAAGAGAATTAGTAAAAATAAATTATAAGAAATATATATCAATTTAATGCTAATGCTTTTTAATTAGCCAGCCAATAAACAATATGTATATGTATTCATTTAATAGATAATTTTATTAATCCATCTATTTCTAAAGTTTATTGATATTAAATCTTAATATTTAGTAATAATTATTAATAAATGAAAAATTTTTGGTATTAAGTTAGTATAATTGGGATCTATAAATATTATTTTTGGAATATATTTTATATAATGTATTTGATTTGAGTTTCTAGTTTTACAAACTCAATTTTTTTTGTGAGTAATTTAAGTGTCTAATTCCTTATGCTTCTTTTCTTAGGCTGATACTGGAGTACTTTTAAAATACTATAACTTTTTCTTCCTCCTCTTAAATTTATTTAATTTTTTGAGAAATTGAGATTTTTGTGTTCTAAATCATTTTATTGAATTCAAATAACTTTTTCACATTCTCTATCTGATTTAGACAATGTTAATTCTTATCAACAGTATTAGGTGTTTTCATCATTCATTTCTATTTTGGCAATTAGTCTAATACTAGACTTTAAGTTTTTATTATTTTTAAGTACAATTTTTCTATAATTCTAAATATTATTAAACCTTTATATATGAAGTTTTAAATAGCTAACGAATATGAAATTAATTTAAAAATATTTTTCTTTGATTCAAAGTATAAATTATTGATAAACAAGCATGCAATAAAAAGTAAAATTTTTATTTCATTTTTCAAATTCAATTTGATTTATGTTTTACAATAAAAATACAGCAAGTTATTTTGGCAAGTCCACTAGATTTCCACTCTAAAACTATAAGAAAAATATATTTTCTTTATTTCTATTCATAAAAGTAATTTTAATAATTTTTCAATTTATATTATTGAAGACTATTTTTTAATCTAAATCAATGGAGTTGAAGGATTGAAAATTAAAAATTAAACAATCAAGTAATAAGATTATTTATATTTATCCTCCACTATTCTATCAATATTATACAGAGTGTAAAATTCTATAAAAGAAACAAATGATAATTTTGAAAAAATACTATCAATTAATAAGCTTATTTTATGACAATTAAATTTTATATTTGAATTTGGGGGTTAATAAATTTGGATCTAATGATTCTGAATGTTTAACCTTAAATTAAGGTGTGTCAAAAAGAATTTATCCTAAACGAAAAACTAGATAAATTGATGATTCTTTATTTTTAGAAGTCCATAACTTATTTTTAAAGAAGCCAAATTAAGATCTTAATTATTCTAGACATTTTTATTCGAAATCAAAATATGAGATGATTTTAAGGAAATAGATAAGTCCCTTTTGAAGTAGAAGATTCAAAAATATACTTAGAAGGTCAAAAACTGGAAAAGGTAAGATTTAGTTATTAAGGTAAATTTTCTCAAAGAAAAAAATACTTCCATAAATCAGCAAAAATTTTTTTTTTCTTTTTATTTTCTAGTAATACTATTCGTATAGTACTTGCTTGAAAGATTTTCCAAAGAGATATAAAAAGGAGAATTAAAATACTTCTAATATCTTGATCATTAAATATGAGACTTTAAAAAAATAATTCAAAAAGAGAATTATTCCAACTCTAATTATATTTGATAGAAAACATTAAAAAACTTTAATATTAAAGACAATTATTAGTTTTTTATATCTAAATGTTAATGTTCAATTTTCAAAATTTCAATCAACATTATGAATAACATTTTTAAGTGCCATTGAGTATGAAAAAGACCAAGAGATTTTTTTTATCTCCTAAACTTTATAATCATACTTTGAAATATAAAAACTATCTTTAAATCCATAAAAATTTCAAGAAAATTAACAAAAGAAATAGTTTAACTAAATATGAAATAATTCATTTTTATGATAGTTAAATTTGCAACAGCCTTGGTATCTTTTTCACATTAGAAATCCTTTTTAGCATTTATGCATCTTAATTAATCCAAATTTAATAAATTAATGATTTTCAAATATAAGAATATTTTTATGTATTATTGATCAATAAATAGTAATTTTATTTAACACTTTTTTTATTATTAATTAATAACTTTAAAGAATGATTTATGAAATAAATAAAAAAGTTAAATAAATCTTGAAATAAGCCTAGCAGATTAAATCTTACTAACAATAGAACAAATCGATTACCAATTCTATTCTTTCATTTGAGAAACTTAAAGACTTCTTACTTATTTAAAATGAAACCCTTACTAGTAAAAGAAATGGAAACTCAATACTTAAGGATGGAAATTTTTCTTAAACAAGAAAATATGTAATAAAAATATAACTCAGCAAAAGGAAAAAAAGGATAGGATTATTGAAATAAAATGATCCTACAAGAGCTGTTGCACAAATTCAAAAAATCACGAAGGATTATCTTAAAATATAATTTATATTGAAAATTTTTCATAATCAAATATCTAATTATTTTAAATAATATTTCATGAATAAATAATTTTTTTTAAAGAAATTTATTCTTTTTTATTTTATTTTGATTGTCCATTAATACAACAACTTCTATAATCTATAGATAATCTATATTTTAATAAATATACATTTACATTTTAATATTGTTTTAATTAATGATTTTTCATCAATTTATCTTTTTTTCTGTAATTTTTAATATTCTATATTCATTATATCATTCTAAAATATAGTTTTTAAAATATCCTTTGAGTTTTCTTATTCTTATTTTTAATCTTATTCTCTTATTCTTCCTAAATTAATAAATTCAATTATTTTAAATTATTCCTAATTTAAAACTTTTCATTCAAATATTTAAATAAGATTTAATTTTTAGATAGGATAACCTTTAACTTAATTTAAATTTACATGCTGTATTAGATAAAACCTCATCATTCTTTTTCTTTTCTGTAATATTAATAGTTAATTAGTTTAAGTATTGAAATATCGAAAATTATTTTATAGTTTAAAATAGAAAACTCATAAAGTTTTCTTAATATATATTAATATATGAATAACAAAATAATTAAGTTTACATATAAAATAATGAACTTAATGAAATAATAATATATTGAATTGATAGTAGTTTGATATATTAATAATAATTTCATTATTAATCATAGAATTTGTCAAAGGAACAAGTTATGCTGTTAATCCTTTTACTCATTAGGGTAAATTTTTAGTTCTTATTCAGGATATCTGTCTGTTGGTAATAAATAAAGATGTAGATAATTGTATCATGTTAAATAGTGTGGAATGCTATAATGGTTAGAATTCTTGCAAAGCTAACTAATAAGATTTATTGGTTTGGTTTTAATAAGTACTTTAATATTTAAAAATAATTAAATTGTTTATTGTAGGAGAATCCATTATATAATTCAATAACATTTAGGAATGAATATTCTATATACAACTATAACTATCTTCAAACAATGTTGTAAATTAATTGAATATTCAGAATTACTGGTTTCTGTAATATTTTATTAAGAAATTTTTAACAATATATACAACATATATAAAAAGTTCAGTATCACTTTAGCTTGTAGGCATTCTTGATAAAATAAAATAATAAAGTTAAATTTTATAGAATAATTCTAATGATGACATCATTTATCTTTCTGAACAAAAATATAAACTTTAAATACTAAAGTCTGTTTCAAAGAAATACATTAATTTAACAGCTCCCTATTTTATTTAGATGACAATCAAACTTATATTATACTATTGATAGTCTTTCTTGCTTGGAACTTGTTTACTTACTCAATAGATCAAAAATAATTTAAGGTTTGATTATCATAGTTCAATCAATTAGATGAAAAATTTAGTTAAATGATATCATTTGATAAGAACTTTTATATTAGAAAGTATATTCCATAATAGGATATTAATTATTTCAATATATTTTTTATAATTTGTTATCATCAAATTCATTAATTTTATCATCCATGTATTTTGGATAACTTATTATGATTTAACTAATCTAAGTATTTGGATTAAATAGAGTACAATAAAATTCTATTAAGGAAATAACTTTTCATAAATAAATATACTTCATTTTAAACAATGTAGGATATAGTGATACAGTACATATGTATTGCTATAATTGAAGATATTATCAATAGATAATAATAAAAAAAATCATTATATTAAAGTTCAATATCAAAAATAATAGAAGTAAAATATTTTCATTATTTATATAAAAGATTATTTTGTTCGATAAAATAGATGTAATATTAAAGATAATTAGGTAATAAAGATGTCATTTCAATGTCTTGTTAATCAATTCCAAGATTTTAGCTCGTAATATCAAATATAGAAATTTAATTTATATAAAATTTTCTTAGATGATGGCAATGTGTTTTAGAGAATTTCTCTTATATTCTTTTTACCACACAATCTTCTTCTGTTCATAATTCTTATAGTACACTCGTTTAAAATACACTAACTGTTTTTTTTCTCAGAATGAATATAAATCACTTTCGCTAAAAAATTTTTTATTCTATTATGATTTTCGATTTGTTGATTTTACATCAAAAACAATCTAATCCTAGTTTTCTAAATGTTTTGACTTGAATACATAAGATATTTTTGATTCATTAAAAAATATAAAAGTGATAGAAATTGAATAATATTAAAAAAAAAAGAAATGTAGTGCAATCATCATTTTTAAAATACAATAACATTCATCTGCATAGCCCCTCACAAGTGTAAATGTTAAAGGAAACTTTGTGCTCAATGCCACTATGACCATGGAGTTGAAATGAAATAAGCGGTCCCAATACAAACATTCCATGAAATGGCCCTTCAAAAATTACAAG